GCTGCTGCACATTGCCGCTCAGCGTGACTACGAGCTTCACTCTCTTGACTTCAGCACAACTTTCTTACAGGGCAGCCTGCACGAGGAGATCTGGCTGCACTGCCCGCCTGGCTTCACTAGGTTGTTCCCTCGTGGTACCCAGTGGAGCCTCCGGCGGCCGGTCTACAGTCTCCGCCAGGCGCCACGCGAGTGGCACGACTCACTGAGGACGACACTTGCAGCTCTTCGGTTTACTCCGTCGACTGCTGACCCCTCGCTGTTTCTGCGCACCGACACTTCGCTGCCGCCGTTCTACATCCTAGTGTACGTCGACGACTTGGTCTTTGCCACCGCTGACACTGAGGCTCTCGCCCTGGTGAAGTCGGAGCTGGAGAAGAGGCAGACGTGCACAGACCTGGGTGAGCTGCGCAGTTACCTTGGCTTGCAGATCACCCGGGACAGAGCACGCCGCACCATCACCCTGACTCAGTCACACATGGTGCAGCAGGTCCTTCAGCCCTTCGGCTTGACCTGGTCCTTGGCACAGACCACTCCTCTGGCTACAGGTTACTCGCTCTCAGCTCCACCTTCGGACGAGTCCGTAGAGCCGAGTGGTCTTTACCTAGAGCTAGTTGGCTGCCTCATGTACCTGATGACCTGCACTCGTCCTGACCTCGCGTACCCTCTTGGCCTTGTGGCTCGCTACGTGGCTCCTGGTCGGCACTGAAAGGTGCACATGGATGCTGCGAAGAGGGTACTGCGCTACTTGTGCAGTACATCGACATGGGGCTCGTGCTTGGAGGACGGGGCGGCATTGTTTTCACTGGTCACTCAAACGCTTCTTGGGTTGACGACCAGGCTACGCAGCGGTCGTCACAGGGTTACGTCTTCAGCCTTGACTCTCGTTAAGTTTCTTGGCGTTCTACACGCTCGTCTTCAGTTCTCAGCTCCAGTTGTGAGGCTGAGATCTACGCCACAGCCAGGGCTGCACAGGAGTTACGCTGGCTCACCTACCTGCTGACCGACCTGGGAGAGCGGCCTCGTTCTCCTCCAGTCCTGTACGTCGACAACAAGGCCGCCATTGCCTTGTGTCAGGAGCACAGACTGGAGCACATAACGAAGCACATTGCTTTGCGCTACTTCCTGGCTCGAGAGTTGCAGCAGCGTGGTCAGCTTCGTCTTGCTCACGTGACCACTCGGGCCAACACTGCTGATATATTCACCAAGGCACTTCCGTCTGGTGACCATCAGCGCTTTTGTACTTTATTGGGCCTTGTACCTTCGTTTCCATTCTTGCTGTAGTCTCAGCTTGTACTGTGATCTATATATATGTACATATCTGCATGCTTACTCTTGCTAGGTAGAGATGACTGTACTGTTCTTGTTGCATGTATACCTCTGCATGTGAACTAGCCTTGGGGCCGTTTGCTTGTGCTCAGTGTGTGTGGTGACATTGTGATCCACCCTGAGCTTGTTTTGCTTTCTCTTGACTGGTCTTGTGACCTCTTGCTCTCCCCCACTTTGCTTATGGGGGTATGTCAAACATATATACATATATATGTGTTATAGTTTTGGGTAGGCCGTAGTGGGGTAGATATTGTGGGGTACACCCCCTTAGGTTTCCTTCTTGTACTAAAATCATCTCGATAGTCCACATTGCTTCCTAGTTTCTAAGAGCACCCCGATTTTCAATGTTAAGAAACGCATGAAAGCTAGTCTGAGACTATTACCGCTCGTGTGAAGGGGCACTCTTGCTGTTGCGAATTCCCTTGTGCCACTTCTACTCCTTTTGGGGGTCAAGAACTAACTCACTGTGAAAGAGGTGTGAAATTTCTGACGCCCACACAACCCTCGGTCGAAGATTCCAGAAACGGTGTATACCCACTTGCGCAAGTGGGGTTGAAAATAGACCAAAAGAAAATAGCGGTGGTTAGGTGTACTGGACATGTGGGTCGCCATGATCTGAAACCCAATCACAGCTTTCAGTGTGTACCAGTTTTGTTGTTGCATTGCATACTTTGTGGTATGGATTGCTAACATACTAAAAACATACTTTGTGGACACAACCTCTCAATCTCCATTTTGAGAAAGCTTGCTTTCTGTTCTTGCAAAGGCAACTGGCTTCATTACAATTGCAGTAATACAACATTCTCGTCCAACTATGGATCATACAAATATTGGTACAACTAGGGCGGGTAGGTGGGGAGTGAAACTGCAAAGTTCTGAAATGAAGTCGTGGGTGGAGGCCGAATGGCCTCCAACTCTCGTTATGTACTCGGCGAATTGTAATTCGCCGTTGCTTTGCTTCGTTACAGGCAGCTGCGCTTTCACAATACACATTTTTAGAAAGTGTTACACACTTTCGAAAAAAATCATATTGAGAAAGCTTGCTTTCTGTTCTTGCAAAGGCAACTGGCTTCATTACAATTGGGTCTTCTGAGACATGTGCAGCTGGAGCGTTGAAAACTTGGTGAGTGTAGTTGCGGTTGATGACATTGACGAAATGCCGGGAGGGGCGGCGTTGGTGAGTCGTGGGCTCCATGTCGATGGCGTCCGAGGTGCTGTGCGCGAAGGTTGCTCGTGCTGTTGATGTGGATGTCCCTGGTTGTTGAAACTGGTTGTTCCCGTACCAGGATAGTGGTTGAAACTGGTGGTTCCCGTACTCTACACGCCCAATGTACGGTACAACTTTTATCTTGGGATTTAGCTTCCATGTGCTCTGCTTTACCCTACACTTCCAGTCGTTTGATGTTCCGGCCGGAATAACTACAACGTGGGTGGATGTAAGGGTTTGAAGTGGTACTCGGGTGAGTGTGGTATTCGTCATGTTGGTTGGGTAGGAACGGTCACACAATTGCTGCCTTTTACTCCCAAACGCCCATTCAGGTGACAGCATGCAAGTCGTTTCAACGTGTGCTTTTGCTTCCTTGTCGGGTGTTATCGAACAAAGTGGGATGAGAATGATGGCGAAAACCGATCCCATTGTCATTGCCCTTATTTGGAAGAACACGGAATGTGGTTTAAAAGTGTGTGAACACCAACTGGAGTCAAGTCAAGATTTTAAAACCAACTTGAGGTGCACTTGAACAGTTGCTTCCCGAGATTTCAGTGGGGCTCCAACCAGCCTTTATTGGTCACATTAAAAAGTAAATGGGGTACATCAAAAACCAAGGATGATCCAGTCATACAAGCGAGCACATTGTTCGAAATTTTTGCCCATTTTACGGTAAGGCCAACGTGTGGACCTTCGAGTCTCTTCCCCCCTGGGGGACGGCTCTCAGGCCACGCTAGGACCCTCGGTCCCCTTCCCTCCCCTGGGGGACGGCTCTCAGGCCACACGGGGACCCTCGGTCCCCTTCCCCCCCTGGGGGACGGTTCTCAGGCCACACGGGGCCCTCGGTCCCCTTGCCCCCCTGGGGGACGGCTCTCAGGCCACACGGGGACCCTCGGTCCCCATCCCCCCCTGGGGGACGGCTCTCAGGCCACAGGGGGACCCTCGGTCCCCTTCCCCCCCTGGGGGACGGCTCTCAGGCCACACGGGGACCCTCGGTCCCCTTCCCCCCCTGGGGGACGGCTCTCAGGCCACACGGGGACCCTCGGTCCTCTTCCCCCCTTGGGGGACGGCTCTCAGGCCACACGGGGACCCTCGGTCTCCTTCCCCCCCTGGGGGACGGCTCTCAGGCCACACGGGGACCCTCGGTCCCCTTCCTCCCCTGGGGGACGGCTCTCAGGCCACACGAAGACCCTCGGTCCCTTCTTTTTATTGGGAGACGTCCTTGGGTGCGCGTTGAGTTGATCCTGTCGTAAATGTAGTTCTCCCGCGCGACCAGTAGAGTCTTTAAAAGTGTTTTTCCGCACCCGTGGTGTTGAGCCTATTTTTCTGCCACCAAGTAACAATAGGAGCATAGAGATTAATGGAAAATAATCGAAGAGATCATATCAGAAGAAAAACTTAAACTTAAAAGACTTGCAGCACGTAGGCAACAAATGACGCCCAGTCGAACGACTTTAGGCGCTGCAGTAGCAATTTCGTAACTGCCGCTCCAGCGGCCATTTCGTCCCTCGAGCGCTGGTGGCGATTTTGCCACTGGCGCATGTGGTAATTTCGCCACATGCGCGCATGTGGCGATTTCGTCCCTGGCGCGCGGCAATTGCGCCAGTGGCGATTTCGTCCCTGGCGCGCGCCACTGGCGCCAGTGTCGATTTCATCCCTGGTGCGCGCCATTGGCGCCAGTGGCGATTTCGTCCCAATCGTGCGCCACTGGCGCCATTGGCAATTTTGTCCCTAGCGCGCGCCACTGGCGATTTCGTCTCTGGCGCGCCTGTTGGCGTTTTGTCCGACGCACTTCGATCTCAGTTGAGCGCCCGCTAGTTACAGTCGCACTCGTGATAGTTTGCCCTTCATGGAAAATCAAGCGCCTGGGTTGAACGTGCAAGTGAGTATTAGCTTAGAAGGTAGTTTCTAGCGACAAGGAAACGGTCGAGGTGGTTGGACGAGAATTGGAGTGAAACTGCAAAGTTCTGAAATGAAGTCGTGGGTGGAGGCCGAATGGCCTCCAACTCTCGTTATGTACTCGGCGAATTGTAATTCGCCGTTGCTTTGCTTCGTTACAGGCAGCTGCGCTTGCACAATACACATTTTTAGAAAGTGTTACACACTTTCGAAAAAATTCATATTTTGTGAGAGCTGTTTGAAGGTATGAGTGGAATGCTTTTATCGTGCTACTATGTGATCTGCCTGCATGCTTGTCCAGCGAGTAAAGCGGGTAGCTGGAGTGGCGCTGGAGTGGTGCTAAGCGCAGTAACATCCATAGCCAGTTGCACTAAGAAGGCTGGTGGCGGTGGCCTGACCTCACCGAATATATTCGGTGCGTGACGGACAAAAGAAGCAAGTGATCGCAAGAGGGAGCCTGTAAGGGCCACCTGTATACACTCTCTCAGGTGCTGTGGTGTAGATCCCCACTCTAAACCATGCCCTTCCAGCAGCTTGCTCCTACACCTACTCCTGCGGTATGCCTAAATCAAAAGTCAGCGGATCCAGGCACGCGAGGGAAGGGGATGGCATCGCGGATGTTCTCAACGCCCGTTGCAAACTGCACCAGCCGCTCAAAGCCCAGCCCGAACCCCGCATGGGGGACTGCTTGGAGAAGGGGAAGAAAGAGGAGGTGCACAGGGGTGGGTGGGGGTGGGTGGGGAGGGGGGGGGGGGGGGGGGGAGGGGAGGGAGAATTTAGGGGTGATTGAGGGGGGAGAGTGACATTCACGAAGGATAAATGGAGAGGCGAACGGGAATGTGTGCCGAATCAACCGTCAAAGCAAAACCACACCAGACGCTCAAAGCCCAGAGCAAAGCCCAGAGCAAAGCCCAGAGCAAAGCCCAGAGCAAAGCCCAGAGTAAAGCTCAGAGCAAAGCCCAGAGCAAAGCCCAGAGCAAAGCCCGCATGAAAGGCTGCTTGGAGAAGGGGAAGAAGGGGCGCGAGGGGCGTAAAGGGGGGATTGAGGGAAAATGAGGGGAGAGGCACAGACGGAATGGGCCATGTCTCTTTCATGCGCCCCTCCAGCAGCAGCTCCAGCCGCTGGTAGATGTGAGGTCGGGGTCAACTCAACCATTGTTTCAAGCTGCACAAGATCAGATTCTTAAAGCCCAGACCATAACCCTGCATGAGGGGTTGCATGGAGTGGAGGAGAAAGGGAAGAAGGGGACTTGTCTGGCTCAGGCACACTAGAACCACTCAAGTCCCCTCCATCCCACCTGAACCGCACTGTACCCACCTGAGCCGTATCGGCGGAGGTCGAGGTACCACCAGTAGTCCTGGGGGTCAAGCCCCACGTCCCTCATGCGCCCCTCCAGCACCTCCAGCCGCTCCTCCCTCTGACTGCCGCCTATCAGCACACCTACTTGAACCGCATCGAGCCCACCTGAACCGCATCAAACCCACCTGAACCGCACTGTACCCACCTGAGCCGTATCGGCGGAGGTCGAGGTACCACCAGTAGGCCTGCGGGTCGAGCCCCACGTCCCTCATGCGCCCCTCCAGCACCTCCAGCCGCTCCTCCCTCTGACTGCCGCCTATCAACTCCCCCACCCGCGGCACGAGCACATCCATGGCTGCAACGGTCTTGCCATCGTCATTGAGTCGCATGTAGAATGCCTTGATGTCCTGGAGAGAGGGGTGGGAGAGAGCGGTGGGAGAGAGGGGTGGGAGAGAGGGGTAGGAGAGAGATTGACAATGGTGAAAAGCAGATGGCATAATGATCGCTGGAAAAGAAGCAGGTGAGTGGCATGGCATGTAGAACGCCTTGATGCCCTGACGCATGTGCCAAGAAGGGGGAGGTAGAGGTGGGGAAGAGGGGACGAGGGAGAGCTGTAAATCACGAGGAAGTGAGGGCCCCCGGGGGATGTGCCGGTCGCATCGCTAAGTTACGGTCGTGCTGTCATCGTTGAGTTGCATGTAGTATGCCTTGATGTCCTGACCATGTGTGGGGGGGGAGGGGGGGGGGGTAAGAGAGCAGTAAGGCACGGGGGAAAGAGGGCGAGGGGAGTGCGGCTTCCATCAAAGAGCGGGAGTTATGGTCGTGCCATCACATCATCGTTGAGCCGCACATAAAACCCCTTGATGTGCTGACCATGTGCGGGGGTGGGGTCGAGAAAAGGGGGGGGGAGAGGGCAGTAAGCCACAGGGAAGAGAGGGGGGGGGGGATGTGCTGCATCATTGCATCACCGGGGTACGGTCTTGCCATCATCGTTGAGCCGCATATAAAACGCCTTGATGTCCTGACCATGTGCGGGGTGTTGAGGGGCCGAAATGGGGGATGCAGGAAAAAGGGGAGAGAGGGGGAGGATGCAGGGCATGCATGCTTACGATTGGGGTAGTCGGTGGCACTGATGGGTTGGTTGGTTCTTGAATGCGTTCTCTGTGAGGTACCTCAGTCGGGACGTCTTCAAAGGTGACTTGTCACAGGAAACAAGTCAGCGAGTCGGCACATACTTACCTTAGGGTAGTCCGTGATTTGTTACCTTAGGGGTACTCGGTGGGTTCTCACCTTGGGGTAGCCGGTGACGATGATGGGTCGGTTCTTGAAGGCCTTCTCTGTGAGGTACCTCCTTTGAGTCGTCTCAAAATTCGTCCTCTCCGCTTGCGGTGAATTGTGTAATCGACTCAAGAATCGTCTGAGACGTTTCTAACGTGTCTGCTTACCTTGGGGTAGTCAGTGACAATGATGGGACGGTTCTTGAAGGCCTTCTCTGTGAGGTACCTCTCGTGCTCGCTCTGCAGGTCAATGCCCCACTCCACCTGCACACATGCATGCATGCATGCATGCCAAACGAGGGCGAGCACAGGCACGAGAAACGATGCGTGTAAGCATAGGCATGCGGGAACATGGCATCTGGACATATGGGCATACATACACACATGTGAGCAGGAACGATGCCACATGTAGAAGAGATTCCAAATCGAAATTTTTTGACAACCCACTGACCGGGTAGTCAAACTTGGTCTTAGCCTTCTTGAGAATGCTGATGGCATCTGTGTAGGGCACATGCTCAAACTCACTCTCCACCACCGACTGGGGAATGGGGAGATGGGCACACAGGGAGCAGGGATCACGAGGAAATAGATGCATGCATACTGAGTCAAACTTGGTCTTAGCCTTGTTGAGGATGTTGATGGCATCTGTGTAGGGCACATGCTCAAACTCACTCTCCACCACCGACTAGAGAACTGATTGGGACACGTAGAAATGGAGTGGGGGAACGGGGCACACGGAAAGAACACAGCAAGGGGGGGGGGATTTGGTTTGCAGCAAGTCAGCCATGAAGGCTGCAACCTGACGATAAGAAAGAACAGGCTTTTGAGAATTCTCAAAAACTACCTGGACAACCTGACGATAAGAAAGAACACAGGGAAGCAGAGCGGGCGAAGGGAGAACAGCTGTGGAGGTTAGTTGAACGCATTCAATAAGGAGACTGGGGGAAAGAGGGAACAAGGAGGTGAAGTAGAGAGGTAGGGGTTGCATGCCATGCCACCTAGACAGAGGTGGCACAGCAAGGGCGGGGGCGCCATCTGATCGCTCACCGTGAGCCGTTGGATGATCCCCGGCTCGACAAACTTGTCAAAGAATCTGAAGTCCTCCGCACACTCGCTCATGGCTTCTTGGAGCTGGAAGAGGAGAGAGAAAGGCGAAGAGGGGAGAGGGCGAAAGGAGAAGAGGAATGAAAGGGTGAGGAGGAGGGGCATGAGGAAAGGGCAGAGTAGGGATACCTGAAGTCCTCCGCACACTCGCTCATGGCCCCTCCTGAAGCTGGAAGAGGAGAGAAAAGGGAGAGGAGGGGAGGGGGTGGAGATGGAGGAGAGAGAAAAAGAGGAAAGGGTGAAAGGGAGGAGGATTGTGAGGAAAGGGCAAGCTAGCAGAGCTGGCATAGCGAGTATAACCTCCTTCTTATCCTTCTTCACCCACCCTAAACTTGGAAAGCTAGTACAGATTTCATGTTCATGTGTGCATGGGTGCATCAGTGCATGTGGGCATGTGCGCATTTGCGTACGTGCGTGTAGGTGCGTGCATGCATGGTGTGCTCACAATGTACTTGAGGTATGCCGTGGCGCATGCCATGTCATCTGCCAGGTCAGCAAATGCCAGCTCAGGCTCGATCATCTGAAGGTGACGAGGACGAGGATGAGGATGAGGAAAGGGACGGGAAGTGATGCGAGTAAGGAGGGAGGGGTGAGTGAAAATGGATAGGGAATCACTTTTGAGAATTCTCAAAATGGATAGGGAAGGGTAAGTTGGGGGAGCCGATTCGAGGTGGTTTGGTTGGGCGACCGGGAAAGATGGTCGGAGCAAAATGGTGACTAAAGAACCCGATTCCATGAGGCACTCCCATTGTTTGGTTGGGAAGGAGGCACTCCCATTGTTTGGTTGGGAATGAGGCACTCCCATTGTTTGGTTGGGAATGAGGCACTCCCATTGTTTGGTTGGGAATGAGGCACTCCCATTGTTTGGTTGGGAATGAGGCACTCCCATTGTTTGGTTGGGAATGAGGCACTCCCATTGTTTGGTTGGGAATGAGGCACTCCCATTGTTTGGTTGGGAATGAGGCACTCCCATTGTTTGGTTGGGAATGAGGCACTCCCATTGTTTGGTTGGGAATGAGGCACTCCCATTGTTTGGTTGGGAATGAGGCACTCCCATTGTTTGGTTGGGAATGAGGCACTCCCATTGTTTGGTTGGGAATGAGGCACTCCCATTGTTTGGTTGGGAATGAGGCACTCCCATTGTTTGGTTGGGAATGAGGCACTCCCATTGTTTGGTTGGGAATGAGGCACTCCCAACCCTGGACAAGGCACTCCCAACCCTGGACAAGGCACTCCCAACCCTGGACAAGGCACTCCCAACCCTGGACAAGGCACTCCCAACCCTGGACAAGGCATACCCAGAACTCGGCGACTTTTGAGGCGCCTCAAAAGGCATACCCAACCCGACCGAAACACAGCGAGGCATACCCAGAACTCGGCGAGGTGGCGCGAGGTGTTGGAGTTCTCTGCTCGGAAGGTGGGACCGAACGTGTACACCTGGGGACAGGGGGTGGTTGGGAGAGGCGTGGAGGGGAGGGGTGTGGGGAGGAGAGGAGAGGCGTGGAGGAAAGAGGAAGAGCGTTTTGAGGGACGCCAAACTGTGCAGGGCACACGAGTGCATTTCCACTTCAGCTGGGCTGACACACTGTGAGCTATGCGACAGTATTTTTTCTAAGGGGCCTGAAAATAATGCAGGAGGACGGAGGGAGGGACGAGCAGGCTAAGGAGCATATTGTCTCACTCACATCGTGCAGGGCGCAGGCATAGATCTCCGCATTCAGCTGCCCCGACACTGTGAGGTACGCCGGGCGCTTGAAGAAATCCTGCGGCATGCATGCACACACAGCACACGCGCGGTACAATGCGGTACAGTAAGATGCAGAGACAAATCAAGACGCAGGGATGCCACAGTCAGGTAGAGTATGCACTGTCTGCTCTGCACTCTTTCCACATTGTTTGCACTGCCTCTGACTGAATCTACAAGGAGGCACGGCAATGTCACAGTAGCAATGTACTATGTATGTTCCTACACTTCGCGCTCACCTAGGTCCCCTGACTTCATGACATTACGCATTTCTGTGGCACGTCATTAACCTGTGCCACGTCATTCACCTGTGCCACGTCATTCACCTGTGCCACGTCATTAACATGTGCCACGTCATTCACCTGTGCCACGTCATTTACCTGTGCCATGTCATACACCTGTGCCACGTCATTCACCTGTGCCACGTCATTCACCTGTGCCACGTCATTCACCTGTGCCACGTCATTCATCGGAGCCACGTCATTCACCTGAGACCAGTCCACGGATCCGTCCTTGTTGGTGGGGATGGCCTTCACTGGCGTGGATGCATCAGGGGTGCCTGGTATCTGCAGGAATCGAAATGTAATGGGAAAAGATGGTCATAGGGATAGAGCGAGGGGGAGAGATTTTGAGTCGACTCGAAGCACAGGGATAGAGAGAAAGGGGGGCATGAAGGGGATGTTGATGCGGAGAGGAGGAAAGGGCAGGCATGAGATTCACCATTCATCTCTACATTACGGGGGATAGAGAGCAGGAAAGTTTCTTTTTTTTTGACGTATCAAAAGTGCGGACAGGGAACAGGGATGGGTGAAGAGAAAGGGCATCACTTGACCATGGCTGGTCAACTCCTTGTCATGGTCTACCACAGCCATGGCCGCACAGCACAGCACAGCACAGCACAGCACAGCATACCCAACCGCCCATGCACACCCACCAGCGTGGTGACTCGGAAGTGATCCCCAGCCCCTTGGCAGTCGGATGCCGTGATGATGGGCCACCCACCCACCCACCCGCCCCTTCCACCACACACGTGCACCTTTCCCTCTGCCCCCACACACACAAACTCCCACCCCCACCCACCCACCAGACACGTGCACCAATCCCTCTGCACCCACACACACAAACTCCCACCCCCACCCACCCACCAGCGTGGTGACTCGGAACTGGTCGCCCGCCCCTTCACAGTCAGAGGCAGTGATGATGGGCGATGCCACCCACACGAATCCGTGCGACTGGAAGAAGCGGTGCGATGCCTGTGCCAAGGCACTGCGCACCCGGGACACCTGCAGTGCGAGGGAGAGGGGTGGGATGCGCGGAAAGGTAATAAGGAAAGACAACGCCATTGCCACCCACACAAAGGCATGTGACTGGAACAAGCGGTGGTAGGTCTGGGCCAGAGCACTGCGCAGTGTACTCAAGACACCACACGGAGTGGAATGTGATAGTAGCAGCCAGCAGTGGGATGTGAACAGGGGTGGGTTTGGATGTGATAGTAGCAGCCAGCAGTGGGATGTGAACAGGGGTGGGTTTGGATGTGATAGTAGCAGCCAGCAGTGGGATGTGAACAGGGGTGGGTTTGGATGTGATAGTAGCAGCCAGCAGTGGGATGTGAACAGGGGTGGGTTTGGATGTGATAGTAGCAGCCAGCAGTGGGATGTGAACAGGGGTGGGTTTGGATGTGATAGCAGCAGCCAGCAGTGGGATGTGAACAGGGGTGGGTTTGGATGTGATAGCAGCAGCCAGCAGTGGGATGTGAACAGGGGTGGGTTTGGATGTGATAGTAGCAGCCAGCAGTGGGATGTGAACAGGGGTGGGTTTGGATGTGATAGTAGCAGCCAGCAGTGGGATGTGAACAGGGGTGGGTTTGGATGTGATAGTAGCAGCCAGCAGTGGGATGTGAACAGGGGTGGGTTTGGATGTGATAGTAGCAGCCAGCAGTGGGATGTGAACAGGGGTGGGTTTGGATGTGATAGTAGCAGCCAGCAGTGGGATGTGAACAGGGGTGGGTTTGGATGTGATAGTAGCAGCCAGCAGTGGGATGTGAACAGGGGTGGGTTTGGATGTGATAGTAGCAGCCAGCAGTGGGATGTGATCTGGTGTTGGTGAATGGTCTAACGTGCGATGCGGTGCAAAGATACTCCAAACCATGCCGCGTACTTCAAGGCGCTTCTTATCTTCCCGTCTAAACATGGTCAACTCACAGCGCCAATGGTGTTGGTGCGAGGTCTCAGGTGAGCTATGGTGCGAAGATACTCCAAGGAGTGCCGTTTCTTTTGCAGGGGGTACGTGCTGCCATCACTGCCGCCCACCTGCACGATAGAGGAGGAGAGGAAACACGTGAAAGAAGAAGAGTCTTGAGAGGGGCAGTAGCGATGGCAGCACGTCTCAAAACTCTTCTTCTTTTGCAGAGGGTACGTGCTGCCATCGCTGCCACCCACCTGCACGAAAGGGGAGGAGAGGAAACAAGAGGCAGGGGAACAAATTAACATGGACAAAAGTCAACAGAATAAGCGCGCATAGGAAGGAGTTGACAGCAGGAAATAGGATTGCTGACAAGGCAGAAGGAAGGCTTATTCAGCCAGGCCAGAGTGAGCGTGAGGCGTTTCATGCACGGTGCTGAGAAGATACACCCATCCACACATCAGACAGGGAAGGGCTGAATACAGTACCCCCATTGAAACAGCTTTTGATGGGGAACTGGCTGAATCCAGTACCTCCAATACAATACCCCCGTCTCAAAAGTCATCCACCACACATCAGACAGGTAAGGGCTGAATACAGTACCTCCACTGAAACATATGGTGGTAATGCCTAGCCTACATGCAAGGTACTTATATCAGAGTGAGAATAAGTGCAAAAAGTACCAGGCACGTACTAGCGTGAGTCTTTTAGCCTTGATCTCAATCTTCTGGCCCTTGCCCTGACTCTCCACCACCTCTCCCTCCACTGACACCGCTGCCCCTGTGGTGATGCCACCCCCCTCCACCTGGTGGGAAGACCGTGAGGGAGAGGACGAGCAGGCATGGAGCAAGAGCAGGCATGGAGCAAGAGCAGGCATGGAGCAAGAGCAGGCATGGAGCAAGAGCAGGCAAGGAGCAAGAGCAGGGAGCGGAACTGAAAGGAGACGGAGCAAGAAAGGAGATGGCATGGATGGAGCTTGGTAGCCTTGGAGCGCCAACAAGGCGAGCTTGGAGCGCCAACAAGGCGAGCTTGGAGCGCCAACAAGGTGAGCTTGGAGCGCCAACAAGGCGAGCTTGGAGCGCCAACAAGGCGAGCTTGGAGCGCCAACAAGGCGAGCTTGGAGCGCCAACAAGGCGAGCTTGGAGCGCCAACAAGGCGAGCTTGGAGCGCCAACAAGGCGAGCTTGGAGCGCCAACAAGGCGAGCTTGGAGCGCCAACAAGGCGAGCTTGGAGCGCCAACAAGGCGAGCTTGGAGCGCCAACAAGGCGAGCTTGGAGCGCCAACAAGGCGAGCTTGGAGCGCCAACAAGGCGAGCTTGGAGCGCCAACAAGGCGAGCTTGGAGCGCCAACAAGGCGAGCTTGGAGCGCCAACAAGGCGAGCTTGGAGCGCCAACAAGGCGAGCTTGGAGCGCCAACAAGGCGAGCTTGGAGCGCCAACAAGGCGAGCTTGGAGCTTGGGACGTGAGGAGAACTGGTGAAGTCGCTCTTCTCTAGCTAGCACTAGCTCACAAGCCACGACAGGAGAGATACCACAAGAAATGTTTTCACGGTTGGCTACGGCTAGTTAACCATGGTGCCCAGCTATACTGCCTGCCCAGGCTGTACCTTGCGTCAAGTCTCCAGATGCCTACCTGTTTCTACCTCCTGGTGGCCTTTCATTGACATTTGCTGATTATTTTGGCTGTTACCTCTTCTTGAAAGCGTTCTGTTGCTACCTTCTGTTGTTACCTCCTGGCAGATTCTGTGGTTACCTCCAGGCAGCTTCTGTTGTTACCTCCAGGTAGCTTCTGTTGTTACCTCCTGGTAGCTTCTGTTGTTACCTCCTGATAGCCTTCAACCTCAGGTGTGGCCACCACCTGAATGCCTGAAAGGGAGGAACCGTCATTGAGCTGGATGGAGGGCGCAGGTGGGGAGGGGGGAACCGGTGTGGGGAAACAGGTGGGGAGGGGAGAGTGGTGTGAAAGAACAGGACGCATGCGGGGACGAGGAGAAGAGGAGGAGTGAGGAGGCGTAGAGGACCGAGGGTTAACGGCATGATTGGGAGTGGGATGGGAGACATGAGAGTGGGACTGTCAGGCGTTTTACCATCACATCAGACTACATACGTTTACATTACAGTAAATTACACTACATTACAGTACATTACACTACATTACAGATACACCACATAAGAATGTTCATGCACTCGCTCACCTCAATGAAAGAGAAGGCCTTCTGAGAGCGCACCGTCCGCACCCAACCACGGAGCTCCACGTGGCGCCCAACCTGAATCCGATCAGGCAATAAGGAAAAACCCAGAGAAATAGAGTTAACTGGCAGAACATATCGTGCAATGGTGTCAAACTGAGACAAATGCATCAAAGACTAGCAAACTGAGGATAATGCAAGACAAATACAAGGCCCCACAAAGCATTCCACGTGCAAACCCCCATATGTATCCCCTACAACCTTCTCATGCCATTAAACCTCCCTCAATTCATACCTGATCCATCCCTTCGTTCGGTCCGTTCTTAATATCCGCGATTCTCAACCGCTTCTTGAACTCTTTCACCATCCGCCGCTCCTTGCGCCTCCCCGCGCCTGCTTTGCCGCTCCCAGCAGCCCCGCTCTCCGCTTTCTGCTCACTCGTCTGTTCCACGTCAGCTACTGCTTCAGTTGACGAAGCTGCTGCCACGTCCGCAACTGCTGACTCGGCTCCAGCCGTCGCTCCGCCGTCGCCAGTTGCACTCGAAGCCAAGCATCGTACATTGCGGCTCCGCCTATCAGCAGGTGCCACGTGTGTAAGGACTGTCGATGAGTGGTCCAGCTGTCTCCGGAGAGCCCGCTGCTGGCCGAAGCCATGAATCGATCGATTACAGCCGTCAGTTTTTATCTGCGTGCATCCGGCGATGCTTTCACGCAACGCGGGACACCCGAGGCGCCGGATCGCCTGAGCGGGAACCATCGATTGGCGCAGGCACAGGGCTGCGACTCTCAGCGCCGGCACGCATCGGCCCGCCGTCCAATTCATACTGGTTGACATGGAACGACGAACGTCGTTCGCGGTCTGACGTATCAGCGTATCTGGGCCAAGTCGAGAGTCCAAACAGCAACACTTGGTCGCGCACTTATCCAGAATTGCTCGTCTCCGCGAACGATGACAGAGATTCTGGCGCGAGCGATGGATTATGGCTCCTACTTCAGACTTTCGACGCTAGGGGAGCAGCATATGATCATAGCAACCAGAGTCACGGCGGAATAACCACGGCGGGTGTTTCAAAGTCAGCAGTGGGGAATTCGTGGTTGAGGAATTTCCAAGGCAAAGGACCATTAGCTGCCACGTCATGGATTTCTGCCGGGCTTATAAGCGCATGTAAATTTGTAGAATTATGTGAGATGACATACAGAGAATTATTTCTTATGTTCAATAAAGTAATCCGTTTTAGCATTTGTATATATAATTACCGGGGCGACGAAATAATGCCACCTGAGAGAGAAATAGTGTTGACTAAGCCACGCATTTCCGTCCTACTCTTCCTTGCGAGCCTCGTCAACCACACGCAGGGTTTCCTGCGCAATGCACAGCTCCTCATCAGTCGGCACGACCATCACCTTTATCTTCGCCCCTGCCACAGAAATCTCTCGTGCTCCCTTGTTCCCCTCCTCATTCCGCGCCTTATCCACCTCAATCCCAAACGCCTCCAATCCCGCACACACCCGCGCCCGCACTGGCGCCGATCTCTCCCCAATCCCTGCACTGAACACAATAGCGTCCACCTTCCCTCCCAGCTGGACCAAATACGCTCCCAGATACTTCCTCACGCGATGAACAAACACCTCCAGAGCAAGCCGGTGCCGGCCGCCCCCTTCCAGGTCATCCCCTGCAGGTATGCATGCAGCTTCAGCAACCTCGGTGCGGTCTACGACTGCTTTCATGTCCTTGTCTCCACAGATGCCCACCAGGCCGGACTCCTTGTTGAGGAGAGAGTCGATTTGAGCAGGGGAGAGGCCTTGGAGGTCTGAGAGGATCTTGGGGATGGCTGGGTCGATGTCACCGCACCGAGTGGCCATCACGAGGCCTTCCAGGGGGGTTACTCCCATGGTTGTGTCGATGCACTTGCCCTGCACTCACCCAGGGAGAAATAACAGTGGTTAAGAAGAGGTTCATTCCAGAAGGGGTGAACAAGAACAGAACGAAGAACGAAATGAGCCAAGCCACACAGACGAAACCATTGTCCGTTGAATCTGTTGACCCACTCATTTCTTTGATGCATGCCATGCTCGCACCCACCCCCAGGTGCAGCGTGATCGTGTTCACCTCGCTCTCCTTCGAGATAACTTCAAAGTGGACTTAAAACATGCAGGAACGCATCTTTGATGCATGCATGGGACTCGCTCTCCATGCTGGCACCGACTCCCAGCCGTGATCGTGTTCACCTCTCTTTCCTTCGTTAGAGTCGACCCAAAGGCCAGTCGCACAGTGAACCCATAATTTCCAGCACTGCTGTCCCACTCACCTCCTTGATGCACGCCATACTCGCACCGGCCCCCAGGTGCAGCGTGATCATGTTCATCTCGCTCTCCTTCTTCCCCAGCTGCCTCGCCGTCTCCCTGAGCAGGTACATGTAGCTGGTGCCATGAAAACCGTAGCGCCGCACGCCCAGCTCCTTGTAGAGGCGGTAGGGCAGGGCGTACGTGTAGGCGTGCGGCGGGATGGTGCTGTGGAACGCCGTGTCAAACACCGCCACCTGCGGACAGTCCAGCAGCTCCTGCGCCACCGCCATGCCCTGCCCATGGCAGTCAGAGGGAGAGGGGGTGGGTTGGGTGTGGGGCGGGGGCCACCTGCGGACAGTCCAGCAGCTCCTGCGCCACCGCCATGCCCTTGGGATGCCAGTCAGGGAGGGAGGAGGAGGGGGTGGGTGGGGAGATGAGGTCGGGGGGAATGTGGGGTGGGGACCACCTGCGGGCAGTCCAGCAGCTCCTGCGCCACCGCCATGCCCTGCCCATGCCAGCGCGGGGGAAGAGGGAGGAGTGGGGTGGGGAGATGACATAGGAAGGGGAATGGGGGGAAGAGCGATGAGATGGTAGATTTGCAGGCAGGTTAAGTAGGTACAGAGCATGGTGGTTGGACCCAACAATGAAGCAGGTAGAATGCGAACAATGCAGCAGCTCCATCAATCTCATAAGCGGAGTAAGCGTTCAGGAGGAGGTGGGGATAGAGCATGGGAAGCCAGAAATCCAGCCATCCAGCCATCCAGTCATCCTGCGCTCACGCCATGCCCTGTATGGTGGTCAAGGATTTAAGAAGGCAGAAACGGAACCTTGGGGGGCGAGACATGGTCACGCCAGGACCAACCCGCAGTCCTATAGGATGTGTTGTGTGTGCCTGCATTGTGGGTATGTGTGCTTGCAAGGGCTGGGGTGGCTTGCGAGACTAGGAGTCTGAGTGTGTTTTGCCTGTCCTTCACAACTGATCATATCTGGTCATGGCTGTGTGTGATTTGATTCTTGCATGCACTTCACAATCGCTATGTCCATTCCAGCACATTAGCACGAGGTTCTGAGGGTTCGGTTCAGTTCTGTGCGGGTCTGTGCGGTGTAGTGCGGTTCAAGGCCGTACCTGGAGGTTGGGAGGGTTGTGCAAAGGGGCGAGCGGCGTGAACTTCTTGAGCACGTCCTTCACGTGCTCCGTGATGATGCACGACTTGTTGATCTCCTCACCGCCGTGCACCGCTCTGTGCCCCACTGCCGTCACGGCGCTGCTGCCCTTGCTGATCCCCATCAGCTTCAGCGCGTGCGACATGGCCTCCTTGTGGTCGCTGAACACCGCTTTCTGAAGCACGTCACACAGGAAGGGTTACAGTGAGGCATTGAGAGTTACAGTGAGTATTTATGGTTAAAGGTTAGAACACAGAGCCGGTAAACAAACACAGAGATGCACTTTATCGGAGTGAGCTGAATGAGTGAATAAACGAGAAAGGTGGCTGAAGAGAAAGAAGGTGGTTGAAGAGTGCAGAGGGGAGGCAGAGCGGTTTGATTTGATTGAGGGTGGTCCCGAATTCGCAATGAAAGCGATGAAGGTGACGGCGGCTGACCTCATGGACGGTCTGGTTGGTGGCGAGGGCCTTGTGCGTGATGACGCCCTTGGGAGTGCCGATCTGCTCCACCAGACCCGACACCGCCAGCTTCGCCTTCAGCGCATCCGCGAATTCGTACAGCGCGTACCTTCAGTCATGCGCAGATGGAGGGACGAAGAAAATCGTTTCCGCTAAAAAGTCTTAAACCAAACGTGAAGGTGCATACCAGCTGCAATGCTCTCTCAAAGAAAAGGGTGAATAATACACCAGCAATCATCGCAATGCGGGAAAACGGATTTTCCCGAACGGCGCTTGGTTCCAGGGATCAGGACGCATGTTAGACCAAGGCAGGAGACATACTTGAGAGACGAGCTCCCTGCGTTCAGCACAAGGATCGTCTTCGACTTCGCCATGCTCAGTCAGGCTTCACGAGAAAGCGAATGATTTGACGACGCTTGGCGAGCTAAAACAAAAACGCGACTGCAGATTTAGGAAGAATTGGTGGTAGCGGAGGACTCTTAACAATTTCTGGGGATCAGCGGCTGACTTGGCCTGACTACATTTGACTCGAACAACAGAAACTGATGTGAGATCTTCTGAATGATGTGTTCGGTGAGTGTTGTGTGATTCAGGGCGTATCCCTGGGTGGTGGCAGGGCCACTGTAGATGGCAGCCTGCCACGAACACATAAAACGCCAGGTTGGTGTCAGGAAATTTGGCGCGCGAATACAGGTGCGTGATTGGGCAATGCCCCAAAAATGTCACTTCAATGCCACCAAATACGAGTCGCGCGCGCCTCGGTAAAAATGTTGGTGGCATGCGGTTTTCCCGCATGCCACCAACTCTGCCATCTACAGTGGCCCTGCCACCACCCGGGGATACGCCCTCAGTCAGGGATGGTGAACCAAACCAGCACAGGCAAGCAGGGAAGGGAGGAGGAAATGCATGATGGTAGGTAGGAAGGAAATCGGAGATGCTTCTTCTGGCATGACGTGGCGTTGATTTTCCGATGTTGCTGGACCCGTGGCGGACGTGTGCCTTGATTCTCGGTGTCAGCCCCAAGAATCTTGCAAAACGAAGCAGCACAGCCCAGTAGCCCGAATGTCCAATCAAAGGGCATCCCTGAATGCTTATTTGTCCAATCGTTGAAGTACTCCATGCTCAAATTATGTAGTCTATTTTTCTATTCTCTGGGAGAAGAATACCCGAGCTGCTTGAAACGGATCAAGGTCTTCTTGAAACCTCGTCTGACAAGCTCAAGGGAAGACAAGATAGGGGGAGCAAGCCCTTGAGAACTTCCAGCTAGCGCTCTACTAGGGACGGTTCTCTTGGACCCCATTGACCCATTGCCATTGATACTCAGCGAAGTTTGATCATCTCAAGAGTCGATACTCCCAAGGGTTGCTCTTGCTGCCCTGTCCTGGTCTCTGACTCTGGCAGAGACACGAAATAGCCTTGGCGAGCATCGTCTTGGCCTGCATCGTCTTAATTCCCCTCAATTGTCAACTCGTGGCCTTCGAACTTTCCACGCATTGCTAGCAGACTGTAACGCAAAAGACTCGGCTGTTACACAGACACATCGCAGTCCCGGGAGCCATGCTCCGATTGCTAGGGAAGCGGCTGGTGCAGCAAGCTAGCAAAGCGCGCAACGGCCAAACCCGCAGCTTAAACTCCTCGTCAGGGAACGCCGCGCGAGGCCGATGGAGCGATATCTGCCGAAAGTACCAATCGCAAGCGCAGGTGTTCCCCGAGACGGTCCCGTCGGTCGGGCCGTCGGAAGCACGCGGTCTGCACCGATCTCTTGACGGAATTAGCGCAGGTCCTCGGATCGTTTCAGCTGCTCACACGCGAGGCTTGAGCAGTTTCGCGAGCGGAGTGGGTAGAGAAGAGAGAGCTGGTGACCGAGCGAAGGGACCAAGTTCGTGGGATCAGAGGAGCCGATCGATTAGTGGTTCGAGCAGAAGCAGCGCGCCTGGCAATGTGGGTGCGTCGCACTCCAAGAAACCGCATCAATTCGAAGGCTCTATTTATCTCCACCACTCCGAGTACGTTCGAGAGACCTCCCCTTTTATAGAGAATTAGATGGCTTTATTGAAAATCGTCGTTTTTGTCTCATTGGAGCACCGTCGATTCCGTTTCAATCAAACGCCGTTAATTTCTGCTACCGTCAGCTAGTAGCGTACTGGCTTCGTGTGCGCACATGATTATCGGTTAGGTAGAACTCTGTCTGAGCTCTGTCTCAAAGAACACTACTGTCGGAAAATGTACTTCCGTCGCGCTCTGATTTGCGAATGCGTCTCTGTCATTCTTCACAACCCCCCCTTTCTCGCTTCTCCGCCGCGCCATATCCTTGTCTGCAGCGTGGGTGCTCCTCTGAACTCCGCCGCTCTCAGCATCGGACTCATTCACGCGCTGCAGGTAAGCGAAAGCCATTGTCTGGGTTATGCATCAAGTGAACTAACCATGATATGAACTATGATCCCGAGTATCGATGGCGAGAATCACCATGGCCCTTAACGTTGATGGGTGAGCGCTATCCATAGTCCTAATTATGCATTGACTGAAGTAAACACGGACTCCCTGTCTGATGATGATGAATGGATGGCCTGGGGCCCTGACCCGATCCCCCAGGTTCTGCGGCCAGGCGTGGGTTACTTTCGCCCAATCGACCAGACTTCGCATGGTGGTAACCGCGCGGAACTGTTCCACGAGGTGTTTCGCATGCGCACGCCTCAGGAGGACATGTTCGGGCTCACCCAGGACCAGGCGTATGCTCTGCTGACGTCTGAGAAGACAGACGAACTCCTTGAAACCATCATCTCAGGTAAAAGCTCTTTGAAACCGCAATTTCAGGTCAGATGTCTTGAAACCATCATCTCAGGTAAAAGCTCTTTGAAACCGCAATTTCAGGTCAGATGTCTTGAAACCATCACGCCGGGTCAAAACTCGTCGAGACCAGATTTTCAGCTCAAACTCCTCCCTGACCTAGCGCCTTGTTCCAATCAGCAGCTGTCTGCCTGCAACCCTCGTTTCATACTCCACCTCCCATCCACCAGCATCCTCCACCCGTACTCCACTTCTCAACTGGTATCATGACTTTGTGGTAATAGAGGCCACGTGACCACTCCCATGCGATTGGCACAACTACTTCCTATACCCCCCTCTTCCCATACCCCCTTCCCCCCTGCCCCGGCCTGCGCCTACCAGCATATGAGCGGTGCCAGCGACACCATGGCTTTGTGGTGATAGAGGGCACGTCCATGCAATTGGTACAGACTGTCTGTACAGTGGTTTCCTATAACCCCCTTCTTTCCCCCACCCCCCTGCGCGCCTGCATCCACCAGCGTACGAGCGGTGCAAGCGGCACCACGACTTTGTGGTGATAGAGGGCACGTCCATGCGCGATGGCACCAACACCTCTCCCCTCAACGGCCTCATCGCCTCCGCCCTTGAAGCCCCTGCCCTGCTACTCTCCGATGGCCGTGCTGCCTCACAATTCCACCCCAAGCACACTGAGGTAAGCACATCCCATCCCGGTACTGTACTGTATCTGCACTGCACAACACAATCCGGTTTACTGCGTCACCCCCCCTCTCCTTCACGCATCTCTGCATGCATCGTATGATTTCCACGTTTCAGCCCCCGTGCAGTCAGGTGGCGTGTTTGGTGACTGGAGTGGGACTCTTCCATCGTGCCCTTTTTGTCCCAGTGCTTCACTCACTACCATGCTTCCTTTGCGTCTCCCCATGCCCCCCCATGCCTCCCCTTGCCCCCCCTCCCCGCTGTGCAATCACGCGGGGTGTTTGAGGACTGGGACTGGGAGAATGAGGCGGCGGGGTGCATACTGGACCATGCGCGCATCATGAGGCAGTCGCATGTCGACGTGGCGGGCGCGCTCATCCCCTCACTTGAACACTTCCCATATCTCCCGTGCCCCCATGCAGTCAGTGGTGTGTTTGTGGACTGCGACCCAGACAGCAGTAAAAAATTCTCTCAAAATACACATCTTCCCCCCCCAACGCTGTACTTCCGTGCTTCCCATGCCCCTGCTGCAGTCAGGAGGCGTGTTTGAGGACTGGGACTGGGAGAAGGAGGCGGCGGGGTGCATCCTGGACCATGCGCGTATCATGAGGCAGTCGCGCGTCGACGTGGCGGGAGCACTCATCTACCGCATGCCCAAGACATCCCGGGGGGCGGCAAGGCTGAGGGAATACATCACCCGCGCACACATCCCCTTTGTGGGGGCCATTCCCGAGGATGTCTCGCTCGAGTCGTTCCAGGTGCTTCATGGGTTTAGGAGCATGTTCAGGATGAGGGAACGAGAGAGACACGGGAGGGGAAGGGTGATAAGTGGCATGGGAAATGGCTGTATGGGGGTGGACACAAAGTATTGAGCACTGGCTCCTGGGAATTGAGCTCTCTGAGCAGGGAAGGGGTGTGGTGGGGAGTGCAGAGAGCGATGCGTTGACGACTTTTGAGGCGCCTCAAGAGTGCAGAGAGCGAGGCATTGATGACTTTTGAGGCGCCTCAAGAGTGCAGAGAGCGAGGCATTGATGTGGCCGGGGCGCTCATCTACCGCATGCCCAAGACATCCCGCAGCGCAGCGCGGCTGATGGAATACATCACCCGCACGCGCATCCCCTTCCCTTCCCCCCTCTGGTTCACCCTTTCTCCCCCTGCCCGGCACACCTTGACTTGTCGCTTTCACTCCCTACCTCACGTACATCTCTCCCTACCTCACGTACACCTCTCCCTACCTCACGTACACCTCTCCCTACCTCACGTAAACCTCTCCCTACCTCACGTACACCTCTCCCTACCTCACGTTCACCTCTCCCATTTCCTGCAGGTGGAGGACGTGGGGAGAGTGCTGAACGCGCATGTGCTGTATGGAATTATTTCCCCGCTCATCCACCCCACCTTTTTCCGCCCCTGCCTGCCCCGCATACACCTCTCCCGTTTCCCGCAGGTGGAGGACGTGGCACGGGTGTTGAACGCGCATGTGCTGTACGGCGACGTGCCCCACAGCAACAACATGACCACCGAGGTCACGCGCACGCTCGTGGCCACGCTCCATCTCGCAGACCTGCTCTCCTACATCCCGCCCTCTGACGACCCGGGCAAAGGAGTCCTCGTCGTGGCTCATGCCAGCCGCCCAGATATTCTGCTGGGGATGATCGACCTGCATGAGACGCATCTCAGCACCCAGGTGCGTGCGTGTGTTCAGCAGGGCAGGCAGGGGCCTGTGCAGGTGCACAGGCAGCACTGCAGGTGAGCAGGCAGGCAGGCAGGCAGGCCAGCAGGCAGGCAGGCAGGCAGGCAGGCCAGCAGGCAGGCAGGCAGGCAGGCAGGCAGGCAGGCAGGCAGGCAGACAGGCAGCACTGCACTGCAGGTGTGAAGGGGTATGGCTGACAGACGGCACTGCACTGCGCATGTCTGCACGTCTGCTTTCCTGCTGAGACGATTTGCAACCCAGTAGCACTCACCTCACTGGCTGTCTTTGTGCCTCTGTGTGCTCGTACTGTTGCTTCTCACCTGGTGTTTTTCCGCTCATAGTGTGCGTGTATATCTCCTCCCTCCACACTCACTCTTTACCTCCACCACCATCACCGCCACCACCTCACCACGGCCATCACATCACACCATGCATGCCATGTGCACATCTCCCACACGCAGGTGGCAGCCATGGTGCTCACTGGCGGGTCGCCTCCCCCTTTGGAAGTTGATATGCTCATTCGGGTACGTTGAAAAACATTGCAGGGACGATTGTGCCACTGTGAAGCTGCTAGTCAGTGTTTGGGGCTGATTTGAAAAATAAAACATTGCATGTGCCGATTCACGGCAAGCCAAGGATTGCACTGCCAATCCCGTTAATCCTGTCTCGAATCCGCTGCTCTCTCTGTCATCCCCTTCATCCACACCCACCCACCACCTTCAAGTACCCACCGTGCCCTTCCTCCCCTCGACCATTCAGAGCCGGCCCACGAGAGTATCCCTCCCAGTGCTGCTGTCCCCCAAGGCCACACACGACACGTGCATCGCCCTCACCAATGCCCAGCCCGAGCTGCACGCCACGTCCCACCGCAAGATCGAGCGCGCCGAGGTGCGTTCACAGGCCGGACTGGCCTGTGCTGCTGCTGCTGCTGCCCGCCAGGGTGCCTGGGCAGGGCAGGGCTGTGCTGCCAGAATGCATGGGTTTCCAGGGTGCTAGAAGTGTGATGTGGACCGGATATACATACCCTTGCCACCAATCGATCGAGTGCTGCTCCCCTTCTCACCTGCGCTGGGGACATGCTGCTGCATGCATGCTGCCTGGGCTGCTTCTGCACACCTTCTCCCCACAACCCCCCTCCACACACACACACACACACACTCTCCCTCTCTTTCCCCAGGTCATATTCCACGAGAACGTGGACATGCGCATGCTACACCAGGTGTTATTCAAGGAGCGACCCCTCCGCATGAACCCCAAGCTCTTCCAGCACACCATCTTTGACAAGTCCAGAGAGGCGCAGTCCCACATCGTGCTGCCGGAGGTAAGGATGCCTTTCATTTCCCACTGCACCGCACTGCACCTCTTGAAACCACTTCGGGTGAACCCCAATCTCTTCCAGCACACTATCTTTGACAAGTCCCGAGAGGCGCAGTCCCACATCGTGTTGCCAGAGGTGAGGATGCCTTTCCAATCCCACTGCACCGCACTGCACCTCTGGAAACCACTTTGGGTGAACCCCAAGCTCTTCCAGCACACCATCTTTGACAAGGCCAGAGACGCGCAGTCCCACATTGTGCTGCCAGAGGTACACTTGTTTTACCACCTGCTCTGCACCGCACCTTGTGAAATGACTAGAGGGTTGTGTAGAGCATGCTCTGATGCCCTTGTCTCTTAACAGTTCTCTCCAATTTCACCTTTCTTCAAAACTTGCGTTGTAACTCTCCTGTTCTCCCCAGGGAGCGGAACCGAGAACAATCCAGGCAGCAGGGGAGGTGCTGCGGCGGTCGCTGTGCCGGGTGACCCTCATAGGCCATCCCGACGAGATCATCACCGCCGCCAAGCAGCTGCGCGTTGATGTCTCTGGCGCTGACATCGTCTACCCGCCCTCCGCTCCCAACCTGGATCATTATGCTGAGCTGCTGTACCAAGCCCGCAAGGACAAGGTGGGTCTTGATGCGGTAGGCTGGTGCCGCATGGCGTCTGTACGGAACGAACCTACTCCGCCTCTCCTTGGCTTTCTGCAGGGCTCAACGCAACCCTCCCTGATTGAGGCCCACGAGCGCATGATAAGGGCGTGGTCAGGTCGTCGTACATCTATAGTTCATGCTTCGTGGCTCAGACCGGTCCCACACGGTGGAGAATGGTTTTTGTGGTTTACTGTTAAGCACCGTGACGAACAACCTGACCCCACGCCCTAAGGGACGGTAGTTTCCGTCCCTTGTCATCCTTTCCCTTTCCTTCTTGGCTTCTCTCCAGGGCGTGACCCTAATGGAAGCACACGAGCTCATGATCACAGACCCCAACTACCATCCTTCTCACCAAATCACCTCCCTTTTTTTCTCCACTTTTGAGATCTCTCAAAGGTCGTCTCAAGAGACGTCTCAAAAGACCTCAACTACCATCCTTCTGACCAAATCACCTCCCTTTTCTTCTCCACTCCCCATCTCCTTGCCTCCCTCCAGGGCGTGACCCTAGTGGAGGCGCACGAGCACATGATCACGGACCCAAACTACCTGGGTACAGCCATGGTGGCAGCAGGCGATGTGGATGGCATGGTGTCTGGCGCCGTGCACACCACCATCGCCACCATCCGCCCGGCTCTGCAAATGATACCCGTGAGTAGAGATGGTGATGATCCCTGTGACTGCTGCTCTGAGTGTGCAACAGCAGGCGATGTGGATGGCATGGTGTCTGGCGCCGTGCACACCACCATCGCCACCATCCGCCCGGCGCTTCAGATGATCCCTGTGAGCACTGCGTTGAGTCCAGTGTGAAAGGACAGGCAGCAGATGTCTTTTGAAAACTCCCTGGAAACGTTCACAGCACGATGGCACAGTGTCAGCCTGCAAGGCATACCTCCCATTCTCCTCGCCTCTCCTCCTTTCTCCCCGCTTCTCGTTTCGCATCCCATGGTGTGCCATGGCGTGCCATGTCCTCACAGTCCTGCGCTATCCTGCCATGGTAAGCCCTGCACGGCATGTGCTCCAATCCAACCAGATCAACCCTGTTCCTGCCTTGTGTGACGTGGCATGTGCTTTCCAGAAATTGCCCAACACTGAAATCATCTTGAGAGTTTTCTTCATTTGCATGCCCGACCACATCTGCGTGTGCGTGTGGTGCCTTGCCTCCTATTCCTCTTCTATACCCTCTTGCCCTCCCTTCTCCTCCCTCCTCCCTTTTCCAGAAACTGCCCAACACTGCGATCATCTCGAGCGTCTTCTTCATGTGCCTGCCCGACCACGTGTACATCTACGGTGACTGCGCCATCAACTCCAATCCGACGGCTGAGGAGCTTGCAATGATCGCCATCTCATCGGCCGACACTGCTGCTGCCTTTGGCGTGGAGCCGCGTGTTGCGATGCTGTCGTACTCCACTCTGGACGAGCGCAAAGAAGGTGGGATTGGGAAGGAAGCAAGGTGGTTCTGTCTGGGCGCTGTGAATGCGTGTGAGAAACTGCCTTGCGCATGGAACCACGTGCTGCGATGCTGTCTTACTCCACTCTGGATGAGCGCAGGGAAGGTGGGAGGGATAGGAAATGAAGTGGTTCTGGGTGTTGCTACGGCGTTTGAGAATGTGCCTTTGGCGTGAATCAGCGTGTCACCACGCTGACATGTTCCACTCTGCGCGAGCATGCGGAAGGTGAGGACGGGACAACCCTGCTGCTGTCTTCCCTCTTTGGCATGTGGAATGGACACCCCCTAGGACCCTCCTTCTCTCTTCCTGCCAACATCCAGCCAGATACCATAGTGCAGAAGGTGGAGCGGTGCGGGCAACGCAGCTGGTGAAGCAGCAGTGGCCAGACCTGCTGGTGGAGGGGGTGCTGAATATAACACCCTCTTGTCTTTTGAGTTGACTCAAAAGTCAGCTCTGGAGGAGGGGGTGCTGAATATAACACCCTTTCGCTGCCCCTTGTCCGTGATGTTGATATTCTCCCCTTACCCCTCTCTCCCCCCATGCAGACACCATAGTGCAGAAGGTGGTGCGGGCAACGCAGCTGGTGAAGCAGCAGCGGCCGGACCTGCTGGTGGAGGGACCCCTGCAGTACGATGCTGCTGTCAACCCCATGGCCGCCCACAATAAGATGGACGGCAGAGAGTCCGACGTGGCCGGCAAGGTTTGTCTTGCTGACCAGTGGTTTACTTTTTCTATTACATGTGATCCCTGTGTGTGTGCTACACGTTCTGAGAAGTTCCGCTGAATCATCAACAGCTTATGGTATCAGAGGCTTATTTAAGAAGCCTTGACATGACGGCACGTCGGGCCGTTTCAAGACTTATTCCTCCCTCCTTCCTCCTCCCTCCTTGCTCCTCATGCAGGCCTCAGTCCTCATATTCCCAGACCTCAACACAGGCAACAACACCTACAAGGCCGTGCAACAGGTAACCCCCTTCCCTCCTCGCCCCCTCCCCACCTCTCTCCATCGGCCACTCACAACTTTTTTTGTGTATCATCTGCTGTGTTCTTTGGCCTTTTCTATCATCTGCCCATCTCTTCCCCCCACCGGCCACAAGAGCCATCACCATGGGATCGGTGCTGCAGGGGTCGAGTCGGCCGGTGAATGATTTGAGTCGTCGGTGCAGTTTTGAAACGTCTCAAAACTCTGTTCTAACCCGTGCGCCCCTTTCTCACGCTCGTCTCTCCCACCCACACAGGCCACAGGAGCCATCGCGATGGGACCGGTGCTGCAGGGGTTGAGTCGGCCGGTGAATGATTTGAGCCGTGGGTGCACCACCAAGGACATTGTTAACACCATTGCCATCACCAGCGTGCAAGCTGCTGCTGGCAAGGCGGCGCGCGCAGCACAAGAGGCCGCCGCTTAAACAGTTGTAGAAATTAAATGAGTAATCCGAACATTATTCTGGATGAGGAACTAGGAAATGCTGTATGTAAGGTCATGAACGTAATTCATTCACGAAGTGTAGCTCTTCAGTGCCACGAGTCGTCTCGTCACTATATTCTTGCTTCTCGTAACGTGGATTTTATTCCCTAAAAGTCACGCCCCCATTACGTTTCCGATCAAGGCGCCGTAGCTGTGCTCCTGCACACTAGTCTCTCCTGCTTGATGCGTCCAGTTTCTTCCGACAATCGCATAACCGCGACTCGCTTCAAAATCCAGCAATCGCCCTGTTCTGCCTCGCGGACTTAATCAAACTTCCCGCAGCTGCTGCTGCTGCTGCTCATTCGTCCGTACGTGCGACGATCGTAGTAATTGTCCGCTTTTACTTAGTCAGTCAGCTGTTTTTTCGACGCCTCGAGAGCTCCGCGGTTACTACTCAGCGCGCCGCGATGTACGGAATGGGAGGGCCGATGCACTACCAGCAGCACCACCCCTCACCCTTCACACACGGCCACATCCCCCACCGCTACCCCACTCCGCCGCACCCCGGCGCAACCGGATTCGCGCAATACCCCGGCGGACCCCCCGCGCAGCCTCCGCTTCCGCACCCGCAGCAGCAGGCGCAACAGCAGCAGGCGCAAGCGCAACTACAGCAACAGCAGCAGCTGCAGCAACAGCAGTCGCAAGGACAGGCGCAGGGGCAGGGCCAGGCGCAAGGGCAGTCACAGCAGCCGCCGGCACCCGCGCCGCTGCCGTCGCAACTAAGAGCGGGAAAGGACCCTTTTAGGAACCTGTACAGCCGAGAGTTTGTTGGGCACAAGAAGAAGGTACGAGACACGTGGACCAATGAGGGAGTAGAAAGCAGGTGGGAGGCATGCGGGAGCGTTGGAGGCGCGTGGGAGGCACGGGGGAGAGGGGGGGAGTAGGAGTGTGTTGGGGGCATGAGGTCTTGTGGAGGTATGGAGTTGACAGACAGAATGAGGTCATACAGAATGAGGTCATACAGAATGAGGTCATACAGAATGAGGTCATACAGAATGAGGTCATACAGAATGAGGTCATACAGAATGAGGTCATACAGAATGAGGTCATACAGAATGAGGTCATACAGAATGAGGTCATACAGAATGAGGTCATACAGAATGAGGTCATACAGAATGAGGTCATACAGAATGAGGTCATACAGAATGAGGTCATACAGAATGAGGTCATACAGAATGAGGTCATACAGAATGAGGTCATACAGAATGAGGTCATACAGAATGAGGTCATACAGAATGAGGTCATACAGAATGAGGTCATACAGAATGAGGTCATACAGAATGAGGTCATGCAGAATGAGGTCATACAGAATGAGGTCATACAGAATGAGGTCATACAGAATGAGGTCATACAGAATGAGGTCATACAGAATGAGGTCATACAGAATGAGGTCATACAGAATGAGGTCATACAGAACTGAAGGTAGGGGAAGGGAAAGGATGCTAGGTCAAGGTAACACGGATTCCGTTCCAAAGAACGTTGAATGCATCATTTTCTGTGTTTCATTATGACGTTTTTCTCTTTCTCTGACCCAGGTGCATTCGGTGGTGTGGAACTGCCTCGGCGAGAAGCTCGGGTCAGGTTCGGTGGACCAAACCATTCGCGTGTGGCAAGTGGATCCGAGCGGCCAATCAAACTCCGTGAGTCAGCCTGGCAACGCCCCATTCCATTTGTTAAGTTTCATTCCAGTCAGTCCAACACCCCATCCCAGTCCAGCACCCCATCCCAGTGTAACGTTTCCGATCCGACCGACTCTGAGCCTCCATCCGCCTCATTCCTCCCATCGTTGTCGTGTCATGCCGTTCACGTGCTGCCCGTGGTGCTGCAGAGCAAGCAGCGGGAGGTGGAGTTGAGGGGTCACAGCGAGAGTGGTGACAACTTGTGCTGGGAAAGAGGCCCCTTTCACCACTCTGACATATCATGTCATGTCATTCATGTGATGACATGTCATGGAATGTCATGTCATACTATGTGCCATGGTGCAGAGCAAGCATCGGGAGGTGGAGTTGAGGGGCCACAGCGAGAGTGTGGACAACCTGTGCTGGGACCCCCTCCACCCTGACCTCCTTGCGTCTGCTTCTCAAGACAAGTCCGTGCGCATCTGGGACACACGATGTGAGTGCAGGGGGTGTGGGATGGGATAAGCGTGCAGGGTGCATGGTATGGGACGCATGTTGAGGCGCCTCAGAGTCTCCTCCCCCACCCACCCGGACGGACCTCCTTGCGTCCGCGCCTCAAGACAAGTCCGTGCGCATCTGGGACACACGATGTGAGTGCAGGGGGTGTGGGATGGGATAAGCGTGCAGGGTGCATGGTATGGGACGCATGTTGAGGCGCCTCAGAGTCTCCTCCCCCACCCACCCGGACGGACCTCCTTGCGTCCGCGCCTCAAGACAAGTCCGTGCGCATCTGGGACACACGATGTGAGTGCAGGGGGTGTGGGATGGGATGTGAGTGCAGGGGGTGTGGGATAGGATGTGAGTGCAGGGGGTACGCTTTCGGATGCGTGCGGGTGCAGTGTGATGTGATGGGAGTGAAGGGCGCATGGTATGGGCGGAGTTTGAGGCGCTTCAAAAGTTCTTCAAGACCATCTGGACCTGCTTGTGTCCAGACGTGTTATATGAAAATCACTTTTAAGAATTCTCAAACGTCCCCTCCATCTGGACCTACTCGTGTCCAGACTGTCTCAAGACAAATTTGTTCACATTGGCGACACGCGAGATGGGAGTGAAGGTTACACGCAGCAATCTGATGATGTTTTGCAAATCTTCAAAACATCTTAAGATGTTGTGCAGATCTTCGGTTATCCTTATTCGTGCACGTGCACGTTCATGCAATGCACACATGCACACACGCAAACATTTCATGAGTATTCTTATTTGTTCATTTTGCACAAGTGCTGCTGTCTTCTGTCCGTTGTGTGTTCCTCTCCTTGCCATGTCAGCGGCCAGGTGTCAGCAGAGTGTGACTCTAAAGGGCGAGAACATCAACGTCACGTACAAGCCTGATGGCACGCACATCGCTGTGGGCAACAGCGTGAGTCTGCTGTACTGTAACGTGAAATTGCTGTACTGTAACGTGAAAGTGCTGTACTGTGACGTGAAAGTGCTGTACTGTAACGTGAAAGTGCTGTACTGTAACGTGAAAGTGCTGTACTGTAACGTGTGTTCTAACGTGCTGTGCTGTGGGTGGTATTGTAACGTCAACCTTCCGTACTATGCTAGTGAGCTGTCTTGTGATGTGAGTGAATGGGCTGCGCTGTGAGTTAGGTCACTAATGGCTTGACACTACAGCCAAGCTACTGACATTCTAGTTGCTTCGATGTCAGTCGGTCGTGTCAAAGCCTGACGTTTCATGGATAGACCGCTCACCTCACCTACTTCGTTTCATGGATAGACCGCTCACCTCACCTACTTCGTTTCATGGATAGACCGCTCACCTCACCTACTTCGTTTCATGGATAGACCGCTCACCTCACCTACTTCGTTTCATGGATAGACCGCTCACCTCACCTACTTCGTTTCATGGATAGACCGCTCACCTCACCTACTTCGTTTCATGGATAGACCGCTCACCTCACCTACTTCGTTTCATGGATAGACCGCTCACCTCACCTACTTCGTTTCATGGATAGACCGCTCACCTCACCTACTTCGTTTCATGGATAGACCGCTCACCTCACCTACTTCGTTTCATGGATAGACCGCTCACCTCACCTACTTCGTTTCATGGATAGACCGCTCACCTCACCTACTTCGTTTCATGGATAGACCGCTCACCTCACCTACTTCGTTTCATGGATAGACCGCTCACCTCACCTACTTCGTTTCATGGATAGACCGCTCACCTCACCTACTTCGTTTCATGGATAGACCGCTCACCTCACCTACTTCGTTTCATGGATAGACCGCTCACCTCACCTACTTCGTTTCATGGATAGACCGCTCACCTCACCTACTTCGTTTCATGGATAAACCGCTCACCTCACCTACTTCGTTTCATGGATAGACCGCTCACCTCACCTACTTCGTTTCATGGATAGACCGCTCACCTCACCTACTTCGTTTCATGGATAGACCGCTCACCTCACCTACTTCGTTTCATGGATAGACCGCTCACCTCACCTACTTCGTTTCATGCATGCATGCATGGTGCCTGGTGTTGCATGCATGCATGCATGGTGCCTGGGGTTGCATGCATGCATGCATGGTGCCTGGGGTTGCATGCATGCTGCAGGCGGACGAGTTGACTATTCTGGATGTGAGGAAGCTGAAGCCTATCCACAAGCGCAAGTTCACCTACGAGGTCAGCCATTCTTAACCATTGCCCCTTCTCTGCCTCACCCGCATCTCTGCCTGGCCCCCACTTATTGCAGCTGAGTTCGTTTTACGGCTCTCACATTCACACCAATACCTCCGTCTATTCCCCCTGTCTCCTGTATCCTCTTCTTACCTCTCCGCTTCCGCCCACCGTCCAGTTCAGCCTCGCTTCTCACCTGTCTGCATGCTGTTTCCCTGCCTCTCACTGTCTCTCTCCCACCCACCTGTACCCTGGGCAGCTGAACGAGTTCGCGTGGGACCGAACAGGGTCCATCTTCCTTGTCACAACCGGCACAGGTGAGCTCCGGTGCACAGGTGTGGAGTGCGGTGCAAAACGGTGTGGCTGTGGTGCGCTGATGAGCCGTGGGACTGAGCAACTGTCCGTTCGGTGGCATCAACCCGGCCCCTGGCGTTGACTCGCTCACCTTCCTTCAGTTTTGAGGCGCCTCAAAACTAACATTGACTCACTCACCTTCCTTTTGCACATCGACTTCCCATCACACCTCAACTCAACCACACCCCATTCTCCACCACACCTCAAATTCTCTCCACACCTCAATTTGCAGGTGCAGTGGAAGTTTTGGGTTACCCCTCCCTGCAGACACTAGACACCCTGCACGCACACACAGCAGGGGTGTATTCGCTGGCCATTGACCCCCTTGGCAGGTGCGTGTGTTTGAGGCATTGCATAAGGGAGGTGGTAGAGTGGCCGGTGGGAGGGAGGGAGTGTGTGATGAGGGGAATGTGTGTGGAAGTGCGAGTGGGAGTGCGATTTGTCAGTCGATCAGAAAATGAAGTGGTAGAGTGAGGGTGTGTATGGGAGGGCGTGAGGAGGATGTAAGCATGTAGTTGCATTGCACATGTTATCCTCTCTTCTGCGATATAGTTTCCCGTCTGCTTATCTAAAAATGCTTTTCGGTATGTTTTCCACTTGCTCCATTGAAGTTCTTTTCTTCTTCCTTATTCCCTTCCGCTTCTTCTCATCCCTTCCCCGCACACTTCAATTTCTCCGTCTCCTTTCTTTCCTGTTCTCTTTCTTTCCCGTTCTCTTTCTTTCCCGTTTTCTCCTTTCACATCACCATCAGCTTGCAGGTACTTTGCAGCAGGTAGTGCAGACTGCTGGTGAGCCGAGCCGATGGGACCATCGGCACCACCACAAGTCCTCATATCTCCTCCCCTGTCTCCTTCTCCACGCCACGCCATCTCCCCCCACCATCACCATCACCCACAGGTACTTTGCAGCGGGCAGTGCAGACGCACTGGTGAGCCTGTGGGACATGCAGCACATGCTGTGTGTGCGCACCTTCACACGATTAGAGTGAGTTGAACAGTATGCATGTCCCGAGTGACTATCAAGTGTCTCGCCCTGTGGGACATGCGGCACATGCTGTGTGAGCGCACCTTCACACGCCTCGAGAGAGTTGATAAGTGCATGCACGAGTACGTACCAAGTGCCCTGTTGTGTGCAACATACAGCACACATTGTGTGTCTGCACCCTCACACCATTGAGTGAGCAGCACCTGTCAGGCTGCATGCTTCGTTCATATCTGCCTGCCCCCTGTGCCCCCTACCATGGCTGGCTAGTGCCCACAATGTTCCAATGCCGCTCCGCCTCTCCTTGTTGTCAACTCCAGTGGCTCATTAATTCGTCCCTTTTTGAAAAGTCGTCCCTCCTTCATCCCTTTGAGTCGACTCAAAAGTCAGCTTTGTCCGTTCCCCCTTTCCGTTTTTAAGGCGTCTCAAAAATGGTCCCTTCCTACCCTCCATTCTCGTAGTTTGTTATAAGGCTTTGTTATAAGGCGTAGTTGGAGGCTTTGCTGTCAACTCGAGCGGCTCATGCGTCCCATCCCATCCAACCTCCAATCCCCTTATTTCCCCCTTCGGTCAATGCATCTCCCTTCCCTTCCCTTCCCTTCTCAACCACTCTTCCTCAGATGGCCCGTACGCACTGTCAGCTTCAGCCACGATGGGCGGTATCTCGCGTCTGCTAGTGAAGACCTCTTTGTTGACATTGTAAGGCGTGCCGTGTTGTGAGCCGTGCAGCACTGTGGGCCGTGCAGCACTGTGGGCCGTGCAGCACTGTGGGCCGTGCAGCACTGTGGGCCATGCAGCATGCATGTATAGTGCTGTATCTTGCGAGCTCACTCATTGTGCCGGTGTATCATGCATGCACACCGTGCATAGAACACACCGTGCATAAAACACACCATGCATAGAACACACCGTGCATAGAACACACCATGCATAGAACACACCATGCATAGAACACACCATGCATAGAACACACCATGCATAGAACACACCATGCATAGAACACACCATGCATAGAACACACCGTGCATAGAAAACACCGTGCATAGAACACACCGTGCATAGAACACACCGTGCATAGAACACACCGTGCATAGAACACACCGTGCATAGAACACACCGTGCATGCAGCTACCACGCCATTGCCTCCCTCCATCCCTGTCTCCTGTCTTCCCTCCTTCACCACCCTCTCCCGCCTCCCAAACTGTTCTAAACTCAGCGCAAAATTCCCCCATCCTTCTTCCCTATCTCATGCAAGCCACCCCAGATCTCAGCACAAGATTCATCTCAGCGATGTAAGCCCCCAGACCTCACACATCCCCTCCATCCCTCTCTTTCCCCCGCATTCCCCACGTCCTATGCTCTGCCGCCCAACCCTCTCCTCCGGATCCCCTTCCAACAACAGGCGGAGGTGGAGACGGGGCGGTCGGTGCATCAGATCCCATCCTGGGCGGCGATGAACAGTGTGGAGTGGAATCCCAAGCACCTGCTCCTCGCATATGCCTCTGACGACGATGGCAAGCACTCATCCCCGGGTGAGTGAGCCTGCTGCTAGTACTTTGTTGCCCCAAGAGCACTTCTGTTTTATGCCTCAGGGGTGCTGCTTGGACTGGAATGATCTGAGTGGAACCCCAAGCACCTGCTCCTCGCATATGCATGTGACGACGATGGCAAGCACTCATCCCCAGGTGAGTGAGCCTCTTGGTTGTTATTGAGTCGACTCAAAAGTCACCTCTTTGAGTCGACTCAAAAGTCACCTGGTTGCGATGAAAGCATTGCCTTTTTGTGCCTTAGGGGGCCTGGCCCTGACTGAAATGACTCGAGTGGAACCCCAAGCACCCGCAGCTGGCGTATGCCTCTGACTTTGGCGTATGCCTCTGACTATGGCGTATGCCTCTGACTATGGCGTATGCCTCTGACTATGGCGTATGCCTCTGACTATGGCGTATGCCTCTGACTATTGCGTATGCCTCTGACTATGGCGTATGCCTCTGACTATGGCGTATGCCTCTGACTATGGCGTATGCCTCTGACTATGGCGTATGCCTCTGACTATGGCGTATGCCTCTGACTATGGCGTATGCCTCTGACTATGGCGTATGCCTCTGACTATGGCGTATGCCTCTGACGACGATGGCAAACACCCTTACTGGGGCGAGTGAGCCTGCTTATTGGCTGTTGCCATGAAAAAGCAAAGTGCTTATTTGCCCCTCTCGGTGAGGTGCCTTGGGGACGCGTCACAGGGGGCGATTGATCGTCCAATATCGATCCGCCACCGCAGTGTAATCACGCTAATTGCAATCGCAGCTTTCAGAGCCTTTTCTAACCCCACAAAGACGACCCTTCGGATGATCGATCGCCCCCTGTGACACATTTCGAGGTGGAACCGTAGGGAGCGGCTGCATTGCCAGTTGCTCACATATGCTTTTCGAGCAGCATTTGTTCTCTTTTTGAGTCTGCTTCGCACTCATGTGGAGTGGAGTGCCTGTGGTGGCATGACATAGAGTGTGGAGTGCGGTGTGTAGTGGCATTCGCTGTGTGAAGTGGAAGGATTGTGGCTCCTATATCTTCAATAATACTGTACCGTACATACTTCCTGTTTGTGTCCTTGTCGCAGGTGTCTTCCGTGTCTTTGGGTTTGATTCGCCTTGAGTGCAATTAGTTCTTTTCATTATAGCATTTGTTTTTCAACAATAGTCGTGTATTCGCATCACAATCCAGCTAGGAACGGGTATATGGCCACACTGAGTCCATGTGATGTCGGATACAGTATGTGGGGATGTGTAAGGCTGCAACATTGCTGGCAAATTTCTTCCTTCTAAGTTCCACTCAATGCTTGCCCAACGGTGCTGTATTTATGCACTTCTTGAGTGAATGTGTTCCAAAAAGGGCTGGACTAGGTAGCTTGTATGAGCATACGGGCCCAATGAGACATGGACCATGGTACTAAACAACATGCTATACAGCCAGGATTGAAGTTTCCACGTTAGGCTGATACCTTTAGGCTCATAGCATCTAGGTCAGTGCCAGTGTTTCATACTCAATTGCAGTTTATGGAATATTGAGTGTAAGATAATATATTTACAAGCACCAACTTATGATTTCTTCAAACGGACCCCCAACCCTGAGGTGCTGACTTGGCGCACGAGCCGTCCAACAAAAAAAAAAACAAGAGGCGACGAAATCGTCTTAGGGTTGCGAAGCAACATTACACTGTTATTTTTAGATACATCTGATCTATAGTGAGAATTATATAATATCGTAACATGACTTTGATATTTGCTGAATCATTGCTATTCATAGATACATGTTTCATGTAATATGGTAGTATACAAATGAAAGGGTGTACATAACAGATGGGTGTGGTTGTTTAGGGTAAGTTATTCTTGTTGTGTTCATATGATTTGGTTTTAGGGTGACTGAAAATCTGAAACAAATAAAACTACAGAAAGGAAGAGCGTTTTTTAACCGAATCATCGGCCATGATCAGTTTCGAACTCCCGACCTTCGCGATAACGACGACGTCGACAGAGCTATGCTATACAACCCATGTTTAGATCTGGCAAAACTTAATATTGTTCTTTAATGCAATAAGAAACTTCCCATTCTAGGGTTTCGTCACATGTCTTTTTCCTCCGTTTCTCTTCCACCTAGTCAGACTACTCTAGCTTCTCCCCGTCCCTCACGCCACTCACGCCACTCACACCACTCAGACTATAACTCCTAGTTAAGGTAAGCCTCATTCTCTCTATTCTTAAGTTCATTCTAGTTGAGAGTGGGCTCTAGTTTAGCTCATTTGGTTGAGAGTTGTTTTTTTTTAAACGAGATGTAGACGTATTTTGTTTCTTAACCTCCCTTTCTTCCTAGGTTATGCACCGTACTTTTGTTCTCTCCTTTATTTCGATTTACATTCTACTTGCTTGCTCTTTTCAGCTCTTGCTCTTACTTTTGTCTTCTTCCGTACGCTGTTTCTTGATTTATTCCTCTTCCTTAATTGAAATTTGACAAGATTATTAACAATTATGTTCAGAGAGTTAAATTATTAGGTTGGAGCATTCTCTTTCTCGTTCTCTTTCTCGTTCTCTCGTTGTCTAGTTCTTTCTCGTTCTCTCGTTCGTTCTCCCTCGTTCTTTCTCTCCCGTTTTCTCTCTCTCTCTCTCGCGTTCTCTCTCTCTCCTCTTGTTCTCTCTTTCTCTCGTTCTCTCGTTCTCCCTCGTTTTCTCGTTCTCTCTCTCTTCTCTCTCTCTCTCTCTCTCTCTCTCTCTCTCTCTCTCTCTCTCTCTCTCTCTCTCTCTCTCTCTCTCTCTCTCTCTCTCTCTCTCTCTCTCTCTCTCTCTCTCGTTATTTCACTCTCGTACTCTCGCTCTCGCTCTCGATCGTTCACCCTCGTTCTCTCTCGCTCGTTCCCTCTCTCGTTCTCTCCCTCTCGTTTCTCGTTTTCTCTCTATCGTTCTCTCTCTCTCGTTCTCTCTCGTTTTCTTTCTCTCTCGATCTCTCACACTCTATCGTTCTCCCTCTCTCGTCCTCTCTCTCTCGCTCTCTCTCTCGTTCTCTCTCTCTCTCTCTCTCTCTCTCTCTCTCTCTCTCTCTCTCTCTCTCTCTCTCTCTTTCCCTCTCTCTCGTTCTCTCTCATTCTCTCTCTCTCTCTCTCTCTCTCTCTCTCTCTCTCTCTCTCTCTCTCTCTCTCTCTCTCTCTCTCTCGTTCCGTCTCTGTCGTTCTCTCGTTCTCTTTTGTCAAATCTCTCGTTCGTTCTCTCTCGTTCGTCCACTCTCTCGTTCTCGCTCTCTTGTCCTCTCTCTCTCGTCCTCTCTCTCTCTCTCTCTCTCTCTCTCTCTCTCTCTCTCTCTCTCTCTCTCTCTCTCTCTCTCTCTCTCTCTCTCTCTCTCTCTCTCTCTCTCTCTCGCTCGCTCTCGCTCTCGGTCTCCGTTGTTCTCGGTCAACGTATTTGTTATATTCTTTTCGTTCGTTTACTGTCCCGTTATGTGTTTTTCCCTTTGTTCTCGTTCTTTACTTTCGTTTTATGCCTTAGTACATTTTCTCCTTGTTATTTGTCAGCTCTAACCCTTCAATGCTCATGGCGTTTTTCTTGGCCCTTGTATTGTTTCATTTGTTTCTTCATTATTCCTTTTTCTCGTAATTTCATTATGCCTTGTTATTTCCCATTTGCCTTCCTTTCCTCAACCCAGCTTTGTCTTACTTTTCAGGCAGTCGAGCTCAATATGAGGAGTAGACTGATATTGCTTGTGACTTACAGTATAGGATACATAATGTCTTGGTGATTTAGGTTTCTATTTCATCTGCGGTTAATATGCTTTGTTAGTTGGCTTCGTGTGTGCGTGTATGTGTGAATGTGTATGATGATGTGTATGCGTTGTGTTGTGTGCGTATGCGTTTTCATTCATGTTTCTATTGCATTAATAACACATGTCTGTGGGGTTTAAAAATTGGGATCAAACTATCATTTCCGAGAAGGTTCTTTGCGCACTGAGTGAGTGTGTCCATTCGAACTGGATTTGATGGAATTGACCCGTTTTTTAGATCACATAGATTGTGTTGTTTCATGTAACAGTTGGATGATTCAGAAATTATGCTATTGAGCTCCCCCCCATGCTAGGCAGGGGATGCGGTAGCATAGGGTCTGCGTCAATTAACTGTTACGCACTTCCATCATGCTGTGCATTTATTTCATTACCGGTAGAATATGCATTATACTAATGCATTTGCATTTACTTCATCTACTTATATCATCATCAGACATGCATCACGGAATAAACAGTTACGCGTTCACAGTTCATCATTTGGGCGACTCATGTAATATAGGTTCAGTCAAAGTAAACTACGAAATGAGAAGGAATGTGGTTCAGCACATGGTAAATTGACGCGGCAGATACATAGCAGTCAGTCACTTAGCTAGTACGGTACCGTTCACTTTATTTTTTCCATCCTCTATTTTTTAAAATATTGAGGACTGGAAAAAAAAAATTGTACATAACGATCGTATTAGGTTGCTTCGCAACCCAAAAACACATTTTCTGCGAGCATGTGACATTTGGTTGAGCACCAGTACCTCCTGGTGCACCCTAGGTGCCAGGGGAATGGTGTGGCAAGAGAGAAGGGCGTGATACTGTAAATTGATCTATTACGGGAGGTATAAATCGTGTTTGCCCTACCCGAAGTCTTCTCCTGTCACTTAGCGCTTCTTCGTTGGCACAATGTGGTTCAAGCCGAGTTTGATTTCCGAACTGCAATTGTGCTTCTGTATCATTATCTCGTGTCTGTTTGCTGTTGCTCCCTCGCCTAAGAGTTTTCCATCCATTTCCAATGCTGCTGCTAAGTTGTGACACTTAAAAACGTCACGAAACATGCTGATTCGGAAATATCAATGTTGCGCCACCCTCTCTGACTCAACTGCAGCATTGACCGTTCTACAGTTGTACAGCGACCCTTGAGTTCATCCGTCGACTTTCCGGATAACGGAAGGACGTTTTCGCTGGAAGCTGAGCAATCAATGCACGGCAACTGATCGCAAGCAGTCAATTTGGGTGTGCCCCAGAATCTAGGGTTGCCCACTTGTGCGCTGGCGCTCGGCTTGTGCGATCAGGTACACGTGGCAACCCCCTCCACCCCTCGCTTGCTTGATAGGAGCAGCCGATTTGCCCGCTGCCCAGCTTCCTCCCCCTCCTCCCCAACCCTGTCTGTCTGTTGCATCTCGGTCCTAATTTTTGAAACAGAACACGACACTGCTGCACCACCCTTCATTGTCATTCTTCGCTTCGCATCGCAGTCCCTATTGTGACCATCATTCCGTGTCCTCCCCGGGAACATCGAGCACGCTACAGTGCATCCCTGCAAGATGATCCAACTTCCCCCGTCTTTCTCTCCTACGCCATCCTCCCACATTTTTCAAGACTTGTCCTGCGTTTCGGCTTGTTATCTATCATCGTCATCGCAGTCGTCTGAAGAGTAGTTGTGCGAGGAGGAGCCGTCGTAGGCGGCTAGGTCATGTATCATCTCTGCGCACCTAATTTACGATTTTATTTGCAGCATGGAAACGAGATAGCTGAAGCTAATAGACAGACCGCTTATTCCGCTGTCGGCTATCGCATTCGAACTGTGAGACTGACAGCTCGCGTCGAAAACCCTGTTAAGTCGTTATAGAACTTGCGTAAAATACATAATTATATCCACTTGAAGCTTGCGTCGAAAATCCTAGTTTTAGATATGATTTCCAGATTTCTATGATGGCGGAAATGAGTGTGTTCGCATCACCTTCCGCGGAATCTTCGCCCGACGTGTCCGAGCATCTCAGCGCAAGCAACTCCGTTCGCTCCACGCGTCCCCAGGAATACATGACGCGAAGGCAAGCTGCGGCTGCCGCCGGTAATGTTGACGACCGGAAGGGTTTCGCCGGCAGCAGCGAGGGCAGCAGCAGTTGTGCGGCTGTCGCAAGCCTGGGAGCTTCTGACGGTTACGATTTCGCTGCTGCTGACCCCGCGCGGCGAGATGGTGGCGAGAGTAACCATGAACCTCCCAGTTCGTGGCTGGACAGGAAGCTTTTAGAGAGAAACGACCGGGATGATTCCGAAGTGGACAATTTAGTGGGTTCTGACGGAGTTGGTCGTAAGAGGAAGAAAAGCTGGGTAGGCATTTCGCGTTTATGGCGGAAAACGGCAAGGCGACGCGGCGGGAAGGAGTCGCATGCTTACGACGAAGGTGATGGCGATAGTAGCGATGGGTCCAGCTCTAGCGACGATGGATGGGAAATCGGTGGACTAAGTTGTCGCAAAGGCGACCAGGGGATGAGGAACACCGAGAGAACGGCGCTACGGAAATGTGATGGACACTGGGAAGGAGACGAGGAATGGGAGGATGAAGAGGAGGACGACAAGGGGGGGGCGGAGGAGTTAAGTGGGAGCACGAGAGAGTCCTGGGTGTCTGCCGTCGAGTCGTTTCTCTCCTGGCCGCTGCGCGCTCTTACGCACGCATGGCGTCTGGTACGTTCAAATGCGTGTGTTTTGTTTGTTGTTTGCCTTTTCATTACTATTTTCCGCCTGGTCGCGCCAGCGGCGTTAACCACGCATGCACTGGGTGCTCTTCCTGTCTCACAGCGCCGCGTGTGCTGGGTCTTGGCCGTCAGGGCGCCGGACGCGCGCGTTCGACGAATGCACGCATGCGACGGATGCACGCATGCGACGAATGCACGCATGGGACGGATGCACGCATGCGACGGATGCACGCATGCGACGGATGCACGCATGCGACGAATGCACGCATGCGACGAATGCACGCATGCGACGGATGCACGCATGCGACGGATGCACGCATGCGACGAATGCACGCATGCGACGAATGCACGCATGCAACGAATGCACGCATGCGACGAATGCACGCATGCGACGATTGCACGCATTCAACGAATGCGCGCGCGCGACGAATGATCTTTGTGGTACGAGTGCTGCGTGTTTCACGGCGTCTCATCTCCTCTCCTCCGTCTCTCCTTGCTTCTGTCGAATTTCGCCGCTGACTAGCGCGGGTCCGCTGCTGGCGACTTTTGCTGATGCGCGCATCGCTTCTCTTCCCCCTTACCACCCCATCCCCGCCACTTCCACTTCCCCATCCCCCAGCGCATGTGTTGAATCTGGGCAGTGATCAGTCTCGACGGGCTAGCAGTCGTCTTCGCGCGCGTGCGGGCGCGCGCAGTGGCAGAGAAACACTCAGTGTCCCTCTTCCCCCTCCCCCTGTTCCCGCTCCCTCCCCGCCGCCATCCCAGCGCGTGTGTTGGATCTGGGCGGTGATGAGCGTGGGCTTGCTGGCGATGATCTTCACGATCGTGTGGACGCAAGCGTCGAGCGAGCAGCAGGCGGAGCGCGAGGGGCAGTGCGGCGAGTGGGCAGCGTTCATCGAGTCGCACTTCAACTCCACGCAGGCCAACACGCGCGCGCTCGCCGAGTTCGTCCACGCCTACTACATCGACGGGTACGTTTACCATACGAGTGGGTGGGTATGCCCTCTACGTCATAAGGTGTCGCACTTTTACCATGTCAGAAGATACGCCCACAATCTCCCTGTCACTCCCTTGTCCCCCCCTCTCCCCCAATATCCCCCCCCCCCCCCGCATCCACCCCCCCACTCTCCCCCACTCACCTTCCCCCCATCAGGCGCGAGAGCTTCTTCCGCCCGTCCAAGTTCCTCAAGTTCAGCTCCTCCGCACTGCACGCCCGCCCCGTGGCAGCATGTGAGTTGCCTCCCTCGTCCCCCCATTCACTCATCCACCCATCCGCTCATCCGCCCACCCCAACCACCCCAACCACCCATCCTCCCACCACTCGCTCTTTCTACTGCTGCCTCGTGCCTTCCCTCATTTCCTCTCCTGCCCTTCCTTCCCCATTCTGCTTCCTTCCGCTTTCCTCTCCATCCCCTCCCTACCCCGTCAACCCCTGTCCTTCAAACTTCCCCAACCCCCCCTGCAGTTGTGGGCTATGCTCCTCGAGTCAACACAACAGCACGGCTCTCCGCCATCACGTAGCAAAGAGCAGCGCCTGCAGGGCTGCCTCATCGCAGTGAACGCGGAGTTCTCCTGCCGCCCGCCCGGCCTGCCTCATCACATTCACTGCACCCATCCCTCCCCCTCCCTGTCCTTTCGAGTGAACAGCACGGCCCTGCGCAGCCACGTGGAGCGGCAACTGCAGGGCTGCCTCATTGCACTCATCGCACCCATCGCACCCACCCCTTCCCCCCCTCTCCAGTTGTGGGTTATGCTCTCCGAGTCAACAGCTCAGCCCTGCGCAGCCACGTGGAGCAGCGACTGCAGGGCTGCCTCATCGCAGTGAGCGCGGAGTTCTCCTGCCGCCCGCCTGGCCTGCCGCTGTACGTGCCGCTGCTGCTGGGCACCAGCAGCAACGAGGGGAGCAGCATGCGCCGCCTTCCCCGCAACCGCACTGCTGCCGGCGCTGACCTGCTCTCCGGTGAGCCTGAGCTTGCGATTCGACTCAAAAGATCTCTTCTCAAAACCACCTCCCCCCACACCGCACTGCTGCCGGCGCTGACCTGCTCTCCGGTGAGCCCTAGCTTGCGGCGCTGACTCCTACTCACTTCCCCAATCCCATGACTCCTACTCACTTCCCACCCCTCCCCCATTCCACCCTTCCCTTCCATCAGACCCCACGCTAGCAGCCATGATCCGGGCGGCAGACACGGGGCGCAGCGGCGCCATGTCCGCCCCCATGGCATCCCCAGCATCGCCCTTCCACATGGTGGCGCAGGCCTTCCCCGTGTACGACACTCATGACCACGGCCACGTGTTCGTTCACGTGCCTGGTGCTGCCTCCACCAATGCTAATAGCACTGGTAGCAGCAGGAGCGGTGGCAGGAGCGGCAACAATGGCAGCAGCGGCAGTGGCAGCAGCAGCGGCAGTGGCACGGAGGGTAGTGGTAGCACCAGCAATGGCAGCAGCGGTTCCATCCCAACCAACTCCCCAGACGCACATGCACCCACTGGATCCCCCCCTCACCCCCACACCGGAATCGACCCATCTGCACCGCAGAGCTTTGAGCCCGACTCGCTCGACGCACTCACCAAACCGCACGGCTTTTTCATCGCAGCTTACTCCTTCCACACACTCCGCCTCGCCCCCAACTTCGACCAGCTTAAAGCCCTCCCTCTTCGCACATACCTCATAGACGTGACCAATGAGAGCAGCCCAGCTGTGCTGTTTGGGCCGGAAGGGACGGAGGGGATGACGGGGAAGCAGGCAGGAGTGTGGGCGGCGGTGGCGCATAAGAGACGAGTGGTGCAGTACCAAGGGCGCGTTCAGTACCCCATGTGGTTCGGCGACCCGTCACGGAACTTTGTGCTTGTTTGCGAGTGAGTGGGCTGCCTGGGGCTCAGCGTTGCTTCTTTCTGTCTGTTTGCCTTTGTCTGATCCGCTCCGTCTCGCTCTGTCGAGCCCGTCTTTTTTGTTTCGTTCTGTCTGCAGGTTGGTTGTCCAGCTATTAGAAATCCTAAGAATCTGTCTCTCAAGTGCTCGTGAAGCGCCCCTTGCGTGCTTCTCATTCTACCTCTTCATAGCCTCGAATTTGCCTCCTGAGTGCATCGTAAGTGACTCTTTATATCAACAAACCCCCTTCCTTCCCCCTCGCAGGCCGGAAGCCAACGCGAAGCCGAGCCCGCCGTTCGTGTGGATGGTAGTTTCATTCATCATCCTGGCGATCTCAGTGCTCGTGCTCTGGATGTCCGTGCACCTCATGGCCAAGCTTGAAACCGACACGCTGCGAGTGGAATCAGCACAAGCGCAGCTCGCGACGGCCAAGGTGGCGGCAGAGGCGGCGAGTCGAGCTAAGAGCGACTTCCTCACCACCATGAGCCATGAGATTCGTACTCCCATGAATGGCGTGATAGGTACGCTTTCAGTTACCATATACTAGCAGCCCCCACCATGCTTGCTTGGACCCTGCATTCCTGCCTGCACTGCACATCACCACCACCCACCCGGCCGGCACACGTTAACCTTGCCATGCTGAATCTGCTTGCGCCCTTCATCTCACATCACGGCCGCCTTCACCCTACCTCAACCTTCCCCTCCCCTTCAGCCCACCTGCTCCACTTCTGGTCGCGGCACACCTGCTCCTCTTGAGTCGGACACACTCCTCCTTCCAACCCTCCCTCCCCTTTGTCAATGCCCCCCACCAGGCATGCTGAACCTGCTGATGGAGACCCCTCTGGACGGCACGCAGCAGGACTACGCGGAGACGGCGTGCAGCAGCGGGCGGGCGCTGTGTGCGCTGATCAACGACATTCTCGACCTCTCCAAGATCGAGGCCGAGAAGCTCCGCCTCGAGCGCATCCCCTTGAATCTGAGAGCCGAGCTCGACGACGTGCTTGCACTGTTTGTGGAGAGCGCGGAGGAGAAGCGATCGGTGGAGCTGGCAGCCTTCGTGGCTGATGATGTGCCGGAGACTCTCGTCGGGGATCCGCTGCGCATACGGCAGGTGAGTAAATAAAACTCAGCAATTGTTTGTTTATTTGTTTTAGTTTTTTTTCCGGTGGAGATTTTCTTTATTGCCGTTAAACTCACGTTGTTTCCATGCATCCCACTTTTACACTAGACCCATTAGAACATTGCTACCTTTAAAACCTGAAGTTCAACTAAAAATATCGCCAGTGCCCCTGTACCCCGCCCACACTGCCCACCGGCGCCCCCCTCTTCCATTGACCCTCGTGCCCCACCGCGCTCCCCACCACCCATTTTTTGTGAGCGAAAAATTAGCAAACAATCTCCCTCTTTTCTCCCTACGACCCCTCGGCCCTTTTAATCGACCACAGATCCTGATGAACCTGATAGGCAACGCGCTCAAGTTCACGAGCACGGGGCACATCTTCCTCGTCTTCCGCCTCGCTCTGCCCGACAAAGCCTAATGAGTCCTCATGAATGCGTTGAGGCTATACCCCTCACCTGTCCCCTCCCTTCCCACCCTCCCCACCGGCCACAGATCCTCATGAACCTCATCAGCAACGCGTTCAAGTTCACGAGCACGGGGCACATCTTCCTCGTCATCCGCCTCGCTCTGCCCGACGATACCGTCCACTCCCTCGCCTCCTCTGCCTCTTCCTCCCTCCATCACCGCCAGCACCAGCACCACTCGCAGCACCACCACCAACACCACTCGCACCACCAGCAGCACCACCACCACTCGCATTCGCACCATGGTTACCATCGCCGCCGCAACAGCGATCCCGACCGCCACTGGAGGAGCATGCTCGAAGAGCTGTCTGTGTCCTTCCATCACCACTCCCACCACCACCACTCCCATCACCATCGCCGGCACGCTTCAAGAGAGGAAGGCAGAAGCGGAAAGGCAGCACCAAGAGCACCCGAAGAAGCAGTACCACCAGCAGCAGCAGCAGCAGCAGCACTGACGCTGAGCGGGCGGCCGGCAGTGCAAACGTGGTGCTCATGGGAGGCTATGGGCGGCACTGTAGACCTCAGCACCGTTGGCACCGGTACGATCAGCACCAGCATTGGCACCTGGACCGGCACCGGCACCGGCACGGCCAATCACAGCTGTCAGCAGCATGGCATGGCGAATCACACCTGCTCCAGCAACGCTCAAACACACCCAGCGTGTGCAGGGCAGGCGGTGCAGGGTGTTGCAGAGAGTTCTCAGGCGCACCCAGCGTGCGGAGGGCAGGCGGTGCGGCTGCTGGTGGCGGTGGAGGATACAGGAGAGGGCATCCCCATGGCGGCTCAGAGGGGCATGTTTCGCCCGTACTCCCAGGCGCACGCCAGCACCACCCGCCTGCATGGGGGGACGGGCATCGGCCTCTCCATCTGTAAGGTCCGTTGTGTATGGGTGAGGTACGGGTGAGGTATGGGTGAGGTACGGATAAGGTATGGGTGAGGTACGAGTGAGGTATGGGTGAGGTACGGATGAGGTACAGGAGAAGGCATCCCCATGGCGGCACAGAGGCGTATGTTTCGCCCGTACTCCCAGGCGCACGCCAGCACCACTCGCCTGCATGGGGGGACGGGCATCGGCCTCTCCATCTGTAAGGTGCGTGTGGCACCACGCTTCCTAGATTTTCTGGTGGCCTTGACTCTAGATTTGCCCTGTTGCCCTGTGTTTTGCCTGTCGCACCCTGAAATTTGCCTGAGACTCACATGTTCTTCTCTAGTCCCCCACGCTTCTACCCAATCCCCTGACAGCCATCCCTCTGCTGTTCCCTGGCAGCCATCCCTCTGCTGTTCCCTGGCAGCCATCCCTCTGCTGTTCCCATCGCATCCCGCACGCAACGCCTGCACAGGCCAACACGCATCCCTCTCCCTCTGCTACGCCCATTACGCTAGCCCTGAAGGAACGAGCTTATGTCCACCTCTCTGTGTTGTCCGACCCTGTTCTTCCCTCTTTCCCCTCCCCCTTACAGCGTCTCGTGTTGCTCATGGGAGGCAGCATTGCCTTCAGCAGCGAGCCAGGCGTCAGCAGCACCTTCCCCTTGTACATCAACTCTCGCACCTCCTATCTCGCTTCATGTCTCTGGGCTTCCCTTCCTCTTCCCGTGTGGCATGCCTCATCTGTTCTGCAGCGTCTCGTGTCGCTCATGGGAGGCAGCATCGCCTTCACCAGCGAGCCAGGCGTCGGCACTACATTCTACTTTGATATCACGCTCCACACCCCTCCTACCGACACTCCCTCCACCCCTCCGCCCTGCTGCCCTCCTCCTTTCCCTCCTTCCTCCGCCCATTCCTGCCCAGCGCCCTGCCCTCCTCTTCCTCCTCCTCCTCCTCTCGCGCCCTCTATGCCTCTGCTGCCTCGCACCATCTCGCCTGCTGCTTCTGGGCCGTCCTTCACACCACGTGCAGCTGCTGCTGCTTGCTCTGCTGCTGCTGGTGGTGCTGGTGGAACAGTGGCTGGGAGTGAGATGGGCGTGTGCGTGGTGAGTGGTGGGGGTGGTTGGAGGGCAGCAGAGGGATGGGAAGGCGTGCTTGTGGTGAGTGTGGACGACCGGGCGGTGCGGCATGCCGTCACTCTCTCTCTGCTGCGCCGCCTTGGCATCTGCACCCTCCCCTGCCCCTCCTTCCACCTCCTCCCCCGCCTCCTCGCCCAACACCACTACGGCCTCCCACCAGCTGCTGCAGCTGCACCTGAATCTGATGTGGCATTGACTGCAGCACCAACAGGAGCACCAGCAGCAGCCGCAGCAGCAGCAGCAGCAGCAGCAGCAGGAGGAGGAGGAGGAGGAGGAGGAGGAGGAGGAGGAGGAGGAGGAGGAGGAGGAGGAGGAGGAGGAGGAGGAGGAGGAGGAGGAGGAGGAGGAGGAGGAGGAGGAGGAGGAGGAGGAGGAGGAGGAGGAGGAGGAGGAGGAGGAGGAGGAGGAGGAGGAGGAGGAGGAGGAGGAGGAGGAGGAGGAGGAGGAGGAGGAGGAGGAGGAGGAGGAGGAGGAGGAGGAGGAGGAGGAGGAGGAGGAGGAGGAGGAGGAGGAGGAGGAGGAGGAGGAGGAGGAGGAGGAGCGAGTGTAACAGCAGCAGGAGCAACGAAGAGAAAGAAAACGTTTTCTTTGGGAAGGGGAGACTCACCATCTTTCTCTCTCGTCCCGCCTCTCCCCAGGGCGGAGACGTCAGCAGACTCTATGTCCATCTCTCTCATCCCCCTCCTCCCCACGTCCACTAAGACCAGGAGCCAGCCTCTTGAGGCGCCTCAAAAGAAGACCAGGAGTCAGTCGCTCATCCCCCTCCTCCCTGACTCCAAGAAGACCAGGAGTCAGCCTCTCCTCCGCTTTGCACCGCACCACTGGCGCCATCGCTCCTCCACCGCTGCTCTTGACCCCCCAACTGCTCACCACTGCACAGCCACTCACCCTCCCAGTCTGATTCCTTCTCTTTTAGCCGCCCAACCTCCTGCTTCCTCCTCTCTACCCCCTGCTCCCACTGCCACATCTGCTCTGGCCCCTTCTCCTTCTGTCCCTCCTGCCCCTACTGCCCCTACTGCTTCTGCTGCTGCAATGCCTTCTGCTGCTGGCCCTTCACCTACTGCAGCCAGCAGCAGCAGCATGCCGCCCAGGCTGGCGTCTCTCCCACACTCCATCTCTGCTTCTGCCGCCTCTGCACCGCCCAGCGCTGCCACCACAGCCCTGCGTGCTGCTGCGCGTGCAAGCGGGGCCTGTGTGAGCCCATCAATCGCAGCCCCTGGAAGCAGCTCTTTGGGCGCCTCCCCCGCAAAAAAGGCATGCGTGCCTCGCTCTCTCTCAGCCTCTCCTTGCTCCTCGACTGATGTAGGCCCAGCTGCTGATGCTGCTCTGACTGCTGTGCTCCGAGGGGCCTCTGGTTTGGAAGACTCTCCTACTGCTGGCCTTGTTCGGAATCCCATCTGCCGATTCTTTGCAGACCAGCAGCAGCAGCAGCAGCAGCAGCAGAAGCAGTCCCACCACCATCAACAACAGCAACAACAACACTGTCCCCACCCATCTTTACTCCCCTCCTACCCCTCACCCCCCCTTCTCCAGCCATCCTCCTCTCCCGACCTTTCTTCCAACCCCGCGCGCCGTTCCAAGCATCTACCACCCTCCTCCTCCTTAGCACGCACCTCCTCACTCTCAACAAAGAAAGAGCGTCTACACGCATCCACCTCCTTTTCCCCCTCCTTGTCCCGCACCCCGTCCCTCTCCCACAACGACCTCCCAAGCCTCAGAAAGGCGTTTCAGAAGCAAGCAGAGAGGGCCTATGCAGAGGGTGCGTGTAGCCCCACCCTCTCCCTCGACCCTCCCTTCAACCCTTCTCTCTCCCTAGATCCTCTTGAGTCGACTCAAAAGGCACTGTCCCTCGACCCCCCCTCTGGCCCTTTGATCTGTACCTTTGATCGACTTCCACAACCTTCTCTGGTCACCCAGTCCCTTCCGTCCTACCCTCCTAGGGTCCCGTCCCTCTCATCGACCCACGCCCCGTCTGTCTCCCTCACTCCTGCTTCCAGCCCGCACATTTCTAGCCCCACTGGCCCGGGGTCAGCGGCTTCGAAGCATGCGAGAGCATCGTCAGTTAGCGCGGTGGGGCCACCGCGCCTCTCACCCCTTGGTGAATGTGTCCCTGGCAGGATGGGATGCAGCCTGCATGGGGCCTGCAACTTTGGATGTGCGGCAAGGGATGGGGTGGTGGTGGAGGGGTGGCAGTCAACTCAGTCAACACAGTCGATGCGGTCAATACTTTCAATGCAGTCAAGGCAGTCAACACGGTCGAGTTTGATGCGCACCGCGAGTGGCAAGGTGGTGAGTGTGAGCATGGAAGGGCCGAGGATCGAGTCGAAAGCGTCGCTGCTGCTGCAGTGCTTGGCTGAGGCTCAGGTGAAGCAACAACAGCAGCAGCAGAGAGGGGAGGAGGAGGAAGAGGAGGAGGAGCCGCAGCGGGGGATGCAGGCGGAGCAGCAAAAGCAGGAGCAGCAGCAAGAAGAGCAGCAGCAGCAACAGCAGAAACACGAGCAGCAAGAGCAGCAGCCGCAGCGTGTGGTGCCGAGGAGTCGGGTGGTGGCGGTGGTGGTGGAGGAGGAGATGATGAATCGCTGCCGCCTGCATGTGGACCAGCTGCTTGCCCTCGTGTCCCCCCACCTCTCTCCCCTGGAGCAGCAGCAGCGGCAGCAGCAGATGGTGCAGGAGGAAGAGGAGGAAGAGGAGGCCAAGAAGAAGGAGGAGGAGGAGCAGCAGCAGCAGCAGACAGGGCAGAGGCAGGGGAGGAATCGTGAGCGTCCGGCACTGGTGCTGCTACATGGGTGGGTGTCCCTTGCTCCAGACCTCGTTCAACCGTCTGTTGCTCCGGAAACCAGTACAAAAGGCAACCCTGGAAGCACCGCCGACAACACCAATATCAATGGTTCCGATAACAGGAACAGCAACCACAACCACAGCACCCCTGCTTGCAGCCGAACCGCCAGCAGCAGCAGCGAGGCGCATGTGGTGTCCAGATTCGGTGCACCTGCCACTCCAGGAGCGTCGGCCTCACCGGTTACCACCGTGCCGTACCTCCTCTCTCTCGGGTTCGATGCTGTGGTTCGGAAGCCGCTTCGGAGGAACACGCTTGCCGCTGCCCTGCTGCCCCTCTTCTTACCGCAATCCCAAAAGTCTGTGTTGTCACACTCGCCTCATGTGAGCAGCCGCCACGTAGATACTACCGAGCCGGTGAGACGCTGTGATTCTGATGCTGACCAGGCTAGAGGAGGTCTTGAAATGCTCTCAGGTTACACCAGTGAGCCTGGGAAGCTGGGTAGCTTGCAGGTTGATTGTGGAGTTTGTGACTCTGTTGAAAATGATTGCCATGAGTGTGGGAGCAGGGAGGATGAGAGAAAGGAGGGAGAGAGAAAAGAGGGAGGGAGCAGTGGGAGGTTTGGCAAGGACAGGGGTTTATGGAAGCTGCTGTCTCCTCGAAAGTTTCGTGGAAACGTTGCTGCGTGCGAGCCTGACAGGTCTTCATGTCACGCTGCTACAGACAGTTCAAAGGAAGGTGATTCGAGGAAAGATAAGAGGAAACGCAGGGCAACTGAGATCACTCCGGCATCACCACAGTTTACCCCAGCTGCTGCTGCTGCTGCTGCTGCTGCAGATTCTTCTGCTGCTTCTGCATCCCAAATTGCTCGTGCAGGTGGTGCTACTGCTGTGGCTGTGGCAGCAGCAGCACCACCACCGCCTCCAACACCAGCAGCAGCTCCAGAAGCAGCGCCAGCAGCAGCAGCAACAGCAGCAATGCCCGTGCCAGCAGCAGCAGCCCCTGCAGAAGCACCAGCCCCAGCAGCAGCGGCACGGGAGCCGGCAACGGTGGCGGAGGGGCTGAGCGTGCTGGTGGGTCGGCGGGTGATGGTGGTGGATGACAACCTCATCAACCGCAAGGTGGCCAGCAAGCTGCTGGAGAGGCACGGCGCGCGAGTCACTGCCGTGGATGGCGGCACCAAGGCGCTTCAAGCCCTTGCTCCGCCCCACCCCTATCAGCTTGTCTTCATGGACCTGCAGGTGAGCCTAGGAGGCGAGGGAGAGATGTGTGGGAGGGTAGCAGATGGTGGGAGGGTGGGAGATGTGTGGGAGGGTAGCAGATGGTGGGAGGGTGGGAGATGTGTGGGAGGGTAGCAGATGGTGGGAGGGTGGGAGATGTGTGGGAGGGTAGCAGATGGTGGGAGGGTGGGAGATGTTTGGGAGGGTAGCAGATGGTGGGAGGGTGGGAGATGTGTGGGAGAGTAGCAGATGGTGGGAGGGTGGGAGATGTGTGAGAGGGTGGGAGATGTATGGGAGGGTAGCAAATCAATCATCATTGCTTCATCTTCATCTCTCAACCTCCCTTTCCCCACCTTCCCATGCAGATGCCGGGTATGGACGGGCTGGAGGCGAGTAGGAGCATCCGCCACTCCATTTGGCGTTGAACTCCCCCTTTTCCACCCCTCGTTCCTCTACACCCCCCAGATGCCGGAAATGGATGGGCTGGAGGCGACCCGGAGGATCCGAGCGAGGGAGAGGGCTCAGGGCGGGGGGCATGTGGCCATCATTGCGCTCACAGCGGATGTGATTGCCGGCACGCGCCAGCACTGCTTTGCCGTCGGCATGGATGACTACCTCTCCAAACCCCTTGATGACGCCTCCCTCTCCAAGGCTGTCTGGCGATGCTTGTCTGGGCTGAAGGGAAATGAAATCGTGCAAGGTGATTATTTATGAAATTCTGGGCCATGAATGTTAAGGTCCTCTAATACTCTTGCGTGTATAAATGCAATTCTTACGGTAGCTGTGGAGATGATGTGCTGCCAATTGTACAGTTGTATATTACCTACCGTGTACAGATGTTCTCGTTTATAGTCCGACGGACTGAAACGCCGCGCGCGGACTAAGTGCGAAAACCTTCAAACCCTGGGCAATACGCGATACTAATAGTCCCGTTCAGGAAAATTGCATGAAGAGTGGTTTGTTTGCTACTAGTTTTTTTATTTTGACTTTAACGTTGACTCGGACCGCGCTTGCTTCAACTTCTCGTCGCACAGTTCCCCGCGCTGATCAATGTCGCATGACTAACGGGCAAAACAAAACAAAATCAATTAAGGTCTGGGGGTCGAATAGAAGGTAAAAACTGTTAAATGTTATATTTGTTACAGTTTGTTTAGGCTGTAGTGGGTTAGTTACTATGGGGTACAGTAAGTTTAGGGTTTCCTACTTGTACCCAACACTTTCCTAGTGCATTCATTCTTGTTCAATTCCAACATGGTATTACGAGCCTAGGTTAGGAACCTAGGACCACTTAGTCCTAAGGGCCCGCCTTTCCGCTAGCGCTCTCGAGCGCCTGATCGCTTTAGCGCCCTCGTGCGCCTCACTGCCAGTGCGCCCTCACGCGCCGCTCCTCCTCTCGCTGCCCGTGCGCAACCCCCTAGCCACCCGTGCGCGGCCCGTTTTTTCTAGCGCGCGCAGCCCACTAGTAACCAGCGCGCGACTCCTGTTAGCCGCTCGAGCCACCAGCGCCGCCCACGAGCAGCCTCGTTAGCCGCCCGTCGACCGGCCCTGCTGGCTGCGTAGCGCGCTGCAGCCCCGCCCGCCTTGGTAGGCCGCCGCCACGCCTGCAGCTCACGCGCAGTCGCGGCCTGTACGCGACACGACCCACACGCAGGCCCGCCGTCGCGCCGCCCCGCCCGTCCGAGCCGCGCCGCGTAGCCTAGTCCGAGCCGCGCCGCGCCGCCCTGTCCGAGCCGCGCCGCGCTGCCCTGCCCAAACCGAGCCGCGCCGCCCTGTCCTAGCCGCGCTGCCCTCCTGTTATTGCTGTTCCTGCTGTTACTACTGCTACTGCTACTGCTGTTCTTGCTGTTCCTACTGCTACTGCTGCCACTATGGCTACACCCATAGTTCTCTCTTTCGATGCTGAGGGCCGTCCGCTCCAGTTTGATGCTTGGCTCGACGATCTGCACCTGTTCCTCCAGATCACCGCTAAGGATGATGTCTCGCTGTATGACCACGAGTCCGGAACCGCTCCAGCACCTCCTGACACTGCTGACAGTACAGCTCGCTCCCAGTGGCAGACTCGTGAAGCCCATGCTCGCCTAGCCATTCGCAGTCACCTGCCGCTAGATGAGCGCGCCCACTTTGGCCAGCACAAGACTGCTAAGGCACTCTACGATGCGGTAGTCGCCCGCTACTCCTCGCCTGCCTCTGCTACGATAGGCGGTCTCTCGCTGTCCTATCTCTTCCCCGATCTCGCCGCCTTTCCCACAGTCGCTGACCTCATTACACACCTCCGCACTGGTGACACTCGCTACCGCGCTGCCCTTCCTGCTGAGTTCCTCGCCAAGAACCCTCCCCCGATGTACCTCGTTCTCTACCACCTAGTCACCCGTCTCCCTGACTCTCTTCGCGCAGTCAGGGACCACTTTCTCGCCCTCTGCCCCACCGAGCTCACCATTGACCTCCTCGAGAAGCATCTGCTTGCAGCTGAGTCTAGCATAGTTGCTGTAGGTGCCTCTCGTGGCGACCCCCGCACGCCCTTCTTTGACGGGTGTTCCTCTCCCCCCCTTCTCCCCTCGGTCGCCTCTGCTGCGGCTGTCGACTACCTTGGTGCTGAGGAAGTCGGGGCTGCGTCTGCTCCTAGTTGGAGGCGCAAGAGTGGTAAGGGCAAAGGGGGCAAGGGTGGTGGCGGTGCCAGCGGGGGAGGTGGAGGTGGAGGTGGAGGCGGTGAGGGCGGTGGGGGTGGTGGCGGTGGTGGGGGTGGTGGCGGGGCTGGGGGGGTCAGTGGCAGCGGCGGGGGTGGCGGCGGCAGTGGTGGTGGAGGAGGCCGGGGTGGAGGTGGTGGTGGTGGCGGCAGTGGGCGTGGTGGCGGCGGCTCGGGTGGTGGTCGGGGTGGACCAGCGCAGCGTGGAGGTTCGAGTGGTGTCCAGCGCCAGCAGCAGCGTCTCGGAGAGACCGCGATGCCCCAACAGCTTCGTGAGTGGTACTCTCAGCATGGGGGGTCTGGGGGTGGAGGTACCTGCACGTATGTCATCCGCACAGGTGACTGCGCTGGTCAGACGTGTGGGAGGTTCCACACGCCGCAGCGCTACTTCTTCCGTCTTGACGACGCCTGGCGTGCACAATTCCCTGAGGCCTCTGAGCTGCCCCGCTGGGCTGATCTGTTTAAAAAGAACATTGATGTCTTTGCACTTGACTTTGATGTTATCCTTGGAGCCATGTATGCATTGACTATTAGTGTTGAGGGTGACTGTTACTTGTGTGTGCCACCAGACCCAGGCATTGCGACCAGTGAGGCTACCGCTCTAGGTGCTAGTACGTCTGCTGCCCCAGGTCCTGGTGAGGCTGCCGCTCTAGATGCAGGTGTGTCTGCTGCTTCAGGTGCTTGTGAGTCTACGTCTACTAAGGCACTGCACACCTTCACACTAGACTCAGGTGCTTCCTGCTGTTTCTTTCGCGACCGCACTGCCCTCGAGCAGCTCCCTAGGCCGGTTGCTGTCTCCCTGGCTGACCCCTCTGGGGGTCCGGTCCTTGCGACCTCCACCACTGCCCTCCCTTGTCCTGCTGTCGCGTCCGGCACACTGTCGGGCCTTTACCTCCCCTCGTTCTCTACGAACTTGGTGGCGCGTTCTGCGCTCTAGGACGCGGGTGTTCACCAGTTCACCCCTGCCTATGAGCGTGTGACACACTGCACGTGTGCCCAGACGGGTCGTCACCTGGCTACCTTCACTCGGCAGCCGGGGTCGGACTTGTATACACTGACCACTGAGTCTCCTCAGGTAGCTGCGTCTGCGTCTGCGTCAGGTCAGCTGTCCGCCCCCTGCTCGTGTCGCGCCTTGTCGCACCGGACGGTCCTCTCGCACCACCGCCTTGGGCACCCTTTGATGCAGCGCCTTTGTGGCATGCAGTCTCGTTTCCTTGTCTCTGGTCTCCCCAGGTCACTGCCTCCCCTGCCACCGTCCCCTGCCCCTCTTTGTCTTCCCTGTGTTGAGGGGCGGCAGCGTGCCACCCCCCACTCCTCTAAGTTCCCCCTGACGGAGGCACCTCTGCAGACCCTTCACATGGATGTGTGGGGCCCAGCCCGCGTCGGTGGACAGGGCGGAGAGCGCTACTTCCTGGTGGTAGTTGACGACTACACGCGTTACACCACGGTCTTCCCTTTGCGCACCAAGGGAGAGGTCCCTGCTGTCTTGATCCCTTGGATCCGCACTACCCGTCTCCAGCTGGAGAGGCGCCTTTGCACGGACCTTCCCGTCCTGCGACTGCACTCTGACAGAGGTGGTGAGTTTTCCCCGGCCTATTGGAGGCCTTCTGTCAGGGGGAGGGCATTCGCCAGATGTTCACACTTCCGGCCTCTCCGCAGCAGAATGGGGTTGCTGAGCGCCGCATTGGCTTGGTCATGGAGGTCGCTCATACCTCCTTGATCCATGCGGCTGCCCCCCATTTTCTGTGGCCGTTTGCGGTCCGATATGCCGTGCATCAGCTCAACCTCTGGCCCCGTGTCTCCATTCCGCAGACCTCGCCGACACTGCGTTGGACGGGAGAGGTTGGCGATGCGTCCGTGTTCCGGATCTGGGGTTCTCATGCCTTTGTCCGTGAAACGTCCGCGGACAAGCTCTCCTCCCGCGCCGTTCCTTGTGTCTTCCTGGGCATTGTCCCTGACGCGCCTGGCTGGCAGTTTTATCACCCCACCTCGCGCCGTGTCTTCCCCTCTCAGGACGTCACGTTTGACGAGTCGGTCCCCTTTTACCGTCTCTTCCCCTACCGCACTGCCCCGCTCCCCCCTCCGCCGCTCTTCCTCACGCCACGTGCTGCTTCGGTAGACCCCCTGCCTCCCAAGGGTCCTGCTCCCTTAGGTGTTTCCCAGGTAGACCCGGTCGAGCCTGTCGAGGTAGCTGTCGACTCTGGTCCTGCGCGAGGTCCTAAGCGTGCTGAGCCAAAGCGTGCTGAGCTTGGTGGTCCTGGGTCTGGGGGTACTGAGACTGGGGGAGCTGGGCCTGGGAGTGCGGAGACTGGGGGTGCTGAGCCTGGGGGTGTGGAGACTGCAGGTGCTGAGCCTGGGGGTGCGGAGACTGCGGGTGCTGAGCCTGGGGGTGCGGAGGCTGCGGGTGCTATGCCTGGGGGTGCTGAGCCTGGAGGTCCTGAGCTTGGGGTTGCTGTGCCTGGGGGCGCTCTCTCTTCCCAGCAACTGCGTGAGTGGTACTCTCGGTACTGTCGCCACCGCCGTGGTGCTGTAGGCGCTGGAGGTGCTACTGGAGCTGGAGCTGAGGACGCTGGGCCTACTGGAGTTGGTGTAGCTGCTGACCCTGGGGTTGGCGCTGGAGGTGCTGGAGCCACTGGTCCAGGAGGTGCTCGTACTGGTGGTACTGGAGCTGCTGGGATTGAGGGTACTACTGGAGCTGCTGGAGGTGCTACTGGTATTGGAGCCGACGGTGCGGCTGGAGCTGGTGCTACTGGGGGTCCTGGAGTTGGCGCTACTGGAGCTGCTGGTGGTGCTGCAGGGGTTGGAGCTGCTGCTAGGAGTTCTGGTGCTCTCTATCTGCTGGTTCTAGGGGCGCTTCACGGCCGCGGCCGTACTTCGTTCCGCTCCTTCAGCAGGTTCTTGGTCAGCCGCCTCCTCCTTGTCCTGCGCCTGTCCAGTCGCAGTCATAGTTACAGCGTGCCTCGCCACTCCCTGGTCCTTCTCCCTACACTGGTCCGACAGGAGGTCTTACGGAGCGTCGTGAGCCTGCGTC